CATCAACAAATGTAATATCTTCCTCAAGAAAGCAAAAGCAGCAGCAGCAGCAGAAGCATCCAATGGCTTCTTCTTCTTCTCTATATGTAGTAGACATCATTTATCTTTTACATTCCCCTACTCCGGTCAAGACTGAGACCGCTCTCTGCCTTCATCTCTTCTCTTTCATTGTACTTCGGCCAGACGAATGGCAGAGACAAGGGCAGAGTAGGCTTGCCTTGACCAACAGTCCATTTCCCAACGCATTTCAGGCAGAAATTGTGCCTACATGGTGCCTGAAAAAAATACACATACAAGATATCCATCAGCTCTCTTTATTAGTCTTTATTGCAAAACTTAGTCATATTAAAAAGTAGGAAGGAAAAAAAAGTTAACTTAAAAGTCTTGCCACTTATATCACGTAAAGATCACGATATCAAATACTTGGCAAAACTCAATGGTTTATCATTGTCAAAAATGATTTAAAAAATAAAAAATAAAAAATAAAAATAAAGTCCACAAACTGCAACCGAAAACCAATACAAAATTGATCAACCATATAAGCAAAAGTGTAAGCTTACATATACACACTCATTTGCAGAAATTAAGTTGCCTAACAATTTATAAATTAATCCAACCAAAATATGTATACAAAACAGGTTACATTATCAACGTAAAGGAACGATTGACATCTTTTTTTTTTAATATAAATGGTGAGCACAGCTGCACAAGTAAGTCCATGCATTCTGTATACACGACAAAAAGGGACGATTATATTCTAATATCTGGATTTGTAGTTTCACAAAATAAAAACGAGATCTAGATATAAAAAAAATAAAAAATAAAACAGATACGCGATTTACAGATTCAGCAAACTAACAGAAAACCCTAGATAACTTAAAAAAAAACTAAAATATATAGATTTGGTATTCAAGAGGTTCACCAAACAATAACAAAAACCCTAGATACTGAATTCAAGAAAAACAGATTATATGAACAAGCATAGGAGAGATATAGGACAAACCGTGACGGGCCTATCAGGCAACTGAATGCAGAAAACGCAAGACAGGTTTTCTCCGAGCGTCTTGGCTGCGACAAGATCTGATCCATCGTTGGATGCAATCGGAAGACAGTCAACTTCTCCCACTGTAAAGTGAAAGCGAGAGTCTCGGGAGGGGAGGAGAGACATGACGCATGCCAAGGCGTAGCGCAAGTGGTGCACATGAGAGATTCCTCCGTCGGAGGAGTCGTCTTTGCATCTCATGCACACACCGTCGGCATCGCATGAAACCTGCGCCGTTTTAGAGAAATGATCAGAGAGAGAGAGAGAGAGATATGGACAGAAAAGGTGTTTGAGAGATGATGAGATTGGAGAGAATTGTGGTTCTTGTATTTAAGGGTGGGAGAGAGGAGAGGATCTAGGGTGAATTAAGAGGGAGACGAATTGTAGACGAAAACCAAAAAAAAAAAAAAAGAGGGAGACGAAAATTCTATTATGCATAGACAAGATAAGTGAGAATACATTATTATTAATAATGTGTCTTTCCTAACTTGTTTTTTCTTTTGTTTCGGTTTGTCACATTTTTTGTTGCTGCGTTTGCATTTTCTTTGTTTTTAAATAACAATGTAATAAGCTTTGTTACAAAAAAATGACGGGTTGATATGATGTTTGTTTCACTTTTGTACGTCTTAGCCATAGGATAAAAACACAAAAGATTGAACCTTAATATCACGGTGAATGCTCAATAGGCGAAGAGGAGTATCAATGAGTTCAGTTGTTGCTTTTGCTCCTTGGTTTAAGGGAGAACTTGATGAAAAAGCAAACAACAATTAAGGAAAAAATATGTAAGCTGAAGACAAGTCTAAGAAGAGCGAAACCTAACGATACTCCATAACAGATTAAAATCGAAACGCTTTTCCATCTGCAAGAAAGAGCAAAGCTCAAGTCTAAGTCATTATCACCAAAGTGAAAGAAATTAAAAAGAATCTACAAATCATTTTCTCGTCTTTGCCTCTATACAATTATAAATACTGGAATAGCACACTATACAACAATCACACATCTTCTTATACCCATTACAAACCAAAGCAGGAGCTATCTTAGATATAACAATCCCCGTTTAAAGTTTTAGAATACGATGGCAATAATGTTAACTACATAAGAGTATATGAAAGAAGAGATGATGATGTTGACCTGAGGGTTTTGGAGAAAGTCAGAAATGTCAGTGGGACAACAAGGACAGTTCATGATGGTCTTCCTTGCACGAAGGGTGCGTCCACCTTTGCTTCTTTCTGTCATTACAGTTTGCCCAACAAATCTGCCTTCTATGCATGGCTTGCAGAAGTTGTGAGCACAAGGCGTTGTCACAGGAAGACTCATCACTTGCCTACAGATTTGGCAGCTAAATTCTGCATTACACCAAAAACAAAAACAAGAATCTAATTAAATATGATTATCAATATTAACTTTCTGAATTAGGTTAACTCTTTTTGGGAAAGAGAGCTGAAGACTCAAACCTTTTAGAAGTTTCTCTCTCACGGTCTGTGTTGAACTTCTGGCTTTCCTCACACTTTTTCTCTCATTAGGGTCCAAAGCATTAAGTGCCTTTTGGCTAGCTGGTGGAGGCTTCATCCATTTCCAACGACCATCACTTTCCTGTTCAAGTAAGTGTACACGGAAGATATTACATATAATGAGAACCAGGAGATGAAAATTTGAAATCTGATCACTAAACCCTAAGAGAATGTGAACTTACATCAAAATCCCATGATGGATTTTCCTTTCTCTCAAACAAGTCTGTTGCCATCTCAAGCTCTGGAATATTAGGCAAAGATCTTGGACGATCTCCATGCTCATCACTACATTGTACATATACATAGCTTACTTAAACTCTGAATTATAGAATATTTTGAAAAAAGCGCTTCCTCAAGAGAAGTTAAATCAAACCTGGTCCATGGAGCTGCCTCATTGTCACATCTCACAAACAGGTAACGACACATCTTAAAAACACCCTATGGAAAAGATAAAAAATAAAATAAAAAATAAAAAACAACATGTTAGATATAAAAAAAGAACAATCAATATCTGTATTAAAAAAAAAAAAAGCTTAGTTAGATGTTGTACCTGTTTTCCAACTTTTCGCCAGCACTTCTCAATCCTGTAAACTCCATCATATCTTACTCCTTTCGCAGAGGCATATGCAGTACACTTCTTTTCAGACCTGATAGTTATTTATGAAGGAAGGAATTTAATTTGATTTGATTAGTATCACTTTCTGCTTATAGTTTCTGGTTCAAAATTCTAATTCAAAGCAATGGACTTTTGCTCATAGAAAAACTAACCTGACAACACGAACAGGATAACCCATTTTGCAACTCAATCTTAAAGCTTCATTTGCGTTTGCAAACTTCTGGTCAAACGTTTGCTCCTTGTTAGTCCTTTTGTTGCCAACCAAAACGTGTAAACAAAAACAGGTTACATTAACAACGTACGATTCTAATAACTGGATTTGTAGTTTCTTAAGAACAGCGAGATTTAGATATAAAAAACACTAACATGAGATACGCGATTTACAAATTCATCAAACTAACAAAAAAGAAAACCTAGATAATTAAAAAACAACAAAATTCGGTATTCAAGAGGTTCACCAAAGAACAACAAAACCCCTAGCTATTGAATCCATGAAAACAGATTATATGAACAAAGATTATATGAACAAAAAATTGAAATATAGTTATTTGTGATTTAGATATTCGGTTTGGTCGTTTGGGATACTAAATTCACCCAGTTTGGTTTTGTACCTTTTTCCTTTTATTTTTCAAAAAAAAAAAGAATGAAAATGTCTAGATCACTGTGTGCTACGTCATGCGTATATTTCTTTTGTGGCTTGATCACTGTTAGTGATTAAGTGTTTCGTTTAGATTGTTTAATTTTTTGTTAAAGAGTTTAGATATTTTCATAAACTCCATTAACTCTATAAACGTTGCACAAAAGCATAAAGTGCTTCATTTAAGATCCTCTTGTGCCTTGCCCTAAACAATATTTTTAAAGTTCTTGTTTATCTCTTTCACTACATTTACTTTCCAATTTTTCTTTGCTTCTTCTCTCACAGAAGATAATATTACAGCAACAAATGACAAATCATGAAGACCCTTTACCAAAAAAAAAACAAATGACAAATCATCACCTATGCGTATTCTTTCTAAATTGCTTTAGGTGTATCAATCCAGTTAAGCAGTGCCTATATAATGCGCAAAGAAACTGAAACAACAAAGTACCTCACCGTTTGTTGTGACAACATACGTCTCTGGATCCACCGTGATGTTCGGAAGCGATTCGCTCAGCTTCATGTAAACTGTGTCCACCGTGATGTTCACTTCGATCACATGGCTGGAATTTCTGGATCCACCGTGATGTTCAAGAAAGTACCTTTAATATAAGAAAACCCTGTAACGAAAAAAGATTTTGCAAAGAAATACAAGATGACAACCTAAGATAAGAAAATAAGAACCTTTTTTTTGTTTCAAAAGAAAATACGAAGTTATTAACCAATAAGCAAGACGATCAAACGATATATATAAACTAAACATTGGACCATAGGGACTTAACAAAGATATTGTATTGTTAAGACGGTTCATGGAACACAATCCAGGTCTAGTCGAATAGCAAACAGCTGCTTCTGCTAACTTGAGTGACAAGTAAATGCCGAGTCCTATAAAAGCTAGGGCAGAAAAAGAGATCAAGATAGGTAGCAAAGAGAGGATCCTTGGAGTTGCTTGTGTCTGAAGAGAGAAGCCAGGGAAGGAGGAGAGCAGCAAGTGTCAGAGACTGGATCAAGGCCCTTACATGTGGCTGTAAGATGATGAACAGTTAATACCTTCATTAAATTTTCCCCAAATTGCAAATGCCTTACATAAAATGTTTAAAAGTACAAACAACCAAAGTAAAAACCGAAAGAGATAACATAAATTAACCGAGATAGATAAGTGATATCATCTCCCAAAAACAACAAAATTTTGGTTCAATAGAAAGAGATGAAGAAGAAGTCAGTGGATGCTTTTGCTGCTGCTTGTGCTTTCTGTTTTTCTCCATCAACTTCAACTTCCATAGGTTGATGCTCGTTGCCATTAGCAGCAGCTTGAGAGGTGGATGTTTCTGTTGCTGCTGCTGCTGCTGCTTGTGCTTTCTCGAGGAATATATTGCATTTGGTGATAGTCTTGCCGCTGACTAAATTGTGCATTAGCCAGCAGCAAGACCATCAACAAATGTAATATCTTCCTCAAGAAAGCAAAAGCAGCAGCAGCAGCAGAAGCATCCAATGGCTTCTTCTTCTTCTCTATATGTAGTAGACATCATTTATCTTTTACATTCCCCTACTCCGGTCAAGACTGAGACCGCTCTCTGCCTTCATCTCTTCTCTTTCATTGTACTTCGGCCAGACGAATGGCAGAGACAAGGGCAGAGTAGAGTCCATTTCCCAACGCATTTCAGGAATCACTTTGCGGCATTCTATAGAAGTAGGCTTGCCTTGACCAACAGTCCATTTCCCAACGCATTTCAGGCAGAAATTGTGCCTAATATATAAACTAAACATCGGACTATAGGGAGTTAGGGACTAATCACAGATATTGTATATCAATGTTATTAATTTTATGCGAAAATGGAAGATATTCTATTGTTATCACGGTTCATGGAACACAATCAAGGTTTAGTTCAAAAGAAGTCAAATAACAAACAACTGCTTCTACTAACTTGAGTGACAAGTAAATGTCGAGTCCTAAAAAGACTAAGGCACAAACAAAGATCAAGATAGGTCGCAAAGAGAGGCTCTTTGGAGATTGCTTGTACATGAAGAGAGAAGCGAGAGAAGAAGGAAAGCAGCACGTATACGAGATGAAAGATGATGAATAGTTGAGTGAGAGAGAGAAATACCGAATAATAATACTTTCATTAACTTTTCCCCATATTGGCAAAATGTCTTACATAAACCGAGATAGATAAGTGATATCCTATCACAAACAACAAACATTTTGGTAATAGAAAAAGAAAAGAGAAGAAGCAGCCATTGGATAGGTTTAGTTTGGTCTTTTTCCTCCAAGCCAAGATTACACCACAGTCGCAGAAAAACTAGTGTGTCAGTGTCCAGTTTGATCCTTTTCCTCGGTTGTTCATCAGCTTCTTCAGTGACGACCAATGGAGTTTCTTCTTCAGCTTCTTCGGTAATGCCAGAGTTTTCATCTACACTTGTGCTTGCACCTTCTTCATCTGATGCATCAACAAGCTCTGCTTTTTCCTCTCCTTGTTCTTCACCGCCAGCTTCTCTATCACCGCCATTATATCTCTATTCACCTGTTTCCACACAACTAAGTTTTAGAATACGATGGCAATAATATTAACTACATAAGAGTATATGAAAGAAGAGATGATGATGTTGACCTGAGGGTTTTGGAGAAAGTCAGAAATGTCAGTGGGACAACAAGGACAGTTCATGATGGTCTTCCTTGCACGAAGGGTGCGTCCACCTTTGCTTCTTTCTGTCATTACAGTTTGCCCAACAAATCTGCCTTCTATGCATGGCTTGCAGAAGTTGTGAGCACAAGGCGTTGTCACAGGAAGACTCATCACTTGCCTACAGATTTGGCAGCTAAATTCTGCATTACACCAAAAACAAAAACAAGAATCTAATTAAATATGATTATCAATATTAACTTTCTGAATTAGGTTAACTCTTTTTGGGAAAGAGAGCTGAAGACTCAAACCTTTTAGAAGTTTCTCTCTCACGGTCTGTGTTGAACTTCTGGCTTTCCTCACACTTTTTCTCTCATTAGGGTCCAAAGCATTAAGTGCCTTTTGGCTAGCTGGTGGAGGCTTCATCCATTTCCAACGACCATCACTTTCCTGTTCAAGTAAGTGTACACGGAAGATATTACATATAATGAGAACCAGGAGATGAAAATTTGAAATCTGATCACTAAACCCTAAGAGAATGTGAACTTACATCAAAATCCCATGATGGATTTTCCTTTCTCTCAAACAAGTCTGTTGCCATCTCAAGCTCTGGAATATTAGGCAAAGATCTTGGACGATCTCCATGCTCATCACTACATTGTACATATACATAGCTTACTTAAACTCTGAATTATAGAATATGTTTGAAAAAAGCGCTTCCTCAAGAGAAGTTAAATCAAACCTGGTCCATGGAGCTGCCTCATTGTCACATCTCACAAACAGGTAACGACACATCTTAAAAACACCCTATGGAAAAGATTTAAAAAAAAAAGAACAACATGTTAGATATAAAAAAAAGAACAATCAATATCTGTATTAAAAAAAAAAAAAGCTTAGTTAGATGTTGTACCTGTTTTCCAACTTTTCGCCAGCACTTCTCAATCCTGTAAACTCCATCATATCTTACTCCTTTCGCAGAGGCATATGCAGTACACTTCTTTTCAGACCTGATAGTTATTTATGAAGGAAGGAATTTAATTTGATTTGATTAGTATCATTTCTGCTTATAGTTTCTGCTTATAGTTTCTGATTTATTTTAAATATATTTTTAAATATAATTAAATATTTTTATATAAAGTAATAACACATGTCAATCTAAGAAAGATATCACCAATTTAGTTTTGATTTAAGGTGTAATCTAGAAGATATAGATATTATAATTTAGATAAAAGTATTAAATATGATACCTAAAAGACTAAAACCAAACCAAACCAAGATTGGTTAATTCGATTAAGGTTAGAAGTCGAACTGATCGGCAAGTTTTTTAATTTGTGTTTGGTTCTTGGTTTGTTCGGTTCAGTTCAAGTGAACCGAATGGTTAACCAAATGTCACAAAACCCTAATTCTATTTTCAGCCGCCTCTAGTGTTCTTCTTCCTCTTCGATTACTTCTCCATCTTCCCTTCTTTTTCTTCCTGCATTAGATTTTCAATCAAAGCAACAACGAAGTCAACAACCTCAAGATCTTCACCTCCACCGTTGACAAAGTGAGCATACGATGGCACTGTTTTTCGATGCTTTTGTTGGCATTTTACAAAATCAGATGGAGAACTCGGTCAAAGAACAGTTGACCAAGTAAAACTCCGATTCTCTCCAACTCGCGGCGGTGACTCTACTTCCGGCGAGTTTCAACCCGATTACTCGCCAGGAAGGCCGAGTTTTTGAACACAGAAAATTCTAATTCAAAGCAATGGACTTTTGCTCATAGAAAAACTAACCTGACAACACGAACAGGATAACCCATTTTGCAACTTAATCTTAAAGCTTCATTTGCGTTTGCAAACTTCTGGTCAAACGTTTGCTCCTTGTTAGTCCTTTTGTTGCCGCTCAAATCTCTTCCTCCACTGTGTGACACATATTCAAGAGCAAGTCTTATCACTACATTGTCTAATGTCGCTACATCTATACGTATGCATGAGTGATAGAAAACGTATAGTAAGAACTAAAAGCAAGAAGAGTGATGAAAATAAAACCTTCCTGTGTATAGAAACCATTCTCCATGATCCTCGTCGTCCTCATAACCTCTAGAGAGTGCCACAAACTGAGCTCCATACTTTGACTGTCCAGCAATTCCAGCTATGTGCTCAGAGTGAGCCCCCCACTGTTTACAGTCCAACCTATTGTTCCAGGTTTCGCCAACTAAAACACCTTGGTTTCTTCTGGGATCATTCTCAGCTGGTATAGGACCAAAGTGATCGGATGGTATTGTCACAAATATCTTGCCGCATGAAGCATTTGAAATCCTATTTCTCACAGCGCGCTCGGTTCTGAAAGCTTTGTCAGGCCGGTCTTCATTTCTTACGAAATGATGAACCTTTGGAGCACCAGCAGCAGCAGGTTTAGGAGCTTTGGCCAAACGAATGGCAGAGACTAAGGCAGAGTTGATCCGAGGGTTTCTGACCATTCTGAGAGGAATCACTTTGCGGCATTCTGCACAAGTACGCTTGCCTTGACCAATAGTCCATTTCCCAAAGCATTTCAGGCAGAAATTATGCCCACATGGGGCCTGAAAAAAAATACACATACAAGATATCCATCAATTTCTTTACTAGTACTCGAAGGGTGCCAAGCACATGGAGATAAAGTATTTGTCTGTCAAAGAAGAAGTACAGAAACGTAGAGTGTCCTTTCGAGCACATAGGGACGGATATGATGGTTGCGGATCCGTTAACTAAAGGACTACCACCCAAGGCGTTCATTGGCCATGTAGAACGTATAGATATTATAGATAAAGCCTTGCTATTTTAGATATGGAATGCTCATTTGTGTGTGACACTATGAATTCACTTAAAGTTATGTTTCTGTTTTAATTAAGTATGTTATTATTAAAGTATATGTATACACTTATGGTCAGAGATAACATATGTTTAGTTTGAGAATTAAGGTTCTTCTCAAATGTAAGGAAACCTGTAGAATTATGACTAGTTTGTGATACATGGAAGGAATCATGTCGTTTAATGATGTGTGACCGCCATGATTCGATTGGTTCTGATTTTATTGTGGTAATTAAAGGTTATATGAACTTGATATAACAGTGCACATTATAGATATTAAACTATTAAGTTAACACAAAGGTCAAGTGGGAGAATGTAAGAATATTTGTATTCTTATATATGTGACCTATGTGTTTTTCAGTTTAATATAAAGATCAAGTTCTTATAGTTAATGATTCTAATATAAAAGATGATTCCATGATGGATTGGTTTCAATGAAAGACTTTAGAATCTGGGTGTATTGATAACCCTCCTCCCTTACCCTATAATGTTATAAACATCTTTCTCTAATGGTCATATGTATTATATATATGATTAACTATATATATTAATACATGTGAGAAAGGATGTGTTGAATGGTCGTGAGGTTACGTACGTAACCGTTGGTGTGCATGTGTTTCTATTATGTATATAAGAGATCTCAGAATTAAGAGATAAGAACAACAACAACAATCACAGACACACACCATACAACACTCGTATAAGAAAAGTCAAAGAGAGATTAAGGTTTGGATCCCTTGTCCATCAAAAGGGATCAGAAGGAGAAAGGGTCAAAGGGAGGAGAAGATCAATTGAAGTATTGATCTCACAACAAGACAGAAGAAAGCATGGATCAAGGTTAGTGTTTCTTTCTTCTTCTCTAAGAAACTGTTAGGGTTGGATTATATCAAATCTAGATTATCTTGGGATAGATTTCATATGTGATAGAAATCATTAAAGTGGTTTACAATTGGTATCAGAGCCATCTAGATTTGTTTAATCCACCGTTTAGTGATTTTTCTTAATCGTGAATTGTTAAAGTATGAACGGAACTCATAAACGTAGTCTCGTAATAGAATTCTCTGAGAATTAGAAATTAAAGTTACGTTTGTGGAATAAACTGGAGTAATATATATTATTATGCATCGCATGACATTTGAACAAGTACGTGAATTGTTTTCTCTTGTTCTGGAATTTTGTCGGTTAATATGCATGCATGAACCGGTGCTTCTCTTTACATATTCTGGATTTTTTTTTTTAAATGACATGTATGCGCTCATGTAAGATTGAGTGTTCGTCTTTATAAATTCTGGAATTTGTTATTTTCTGGTGACGGTTGATTCTGGAATGAAAGAGAAGTACATAATATAACCATATGGAATCCACGAACTAAGGCAATATCATATATAAATTAAGGTTTTAAGCGTATATGAGTGAATTGGTTTAACCGTTGGTCTGGTTAATAGATTTGCTATCTAGTATGTTTTTAAGGACACGCTTAAAATTTGTATGATATTATATTGGTTTAGAATAGTATATAAGAATTTAGTTCTATAATTGCTTCCGCTGTGCATTTAAAGGGAACTAATGTGTTATGCAGTATTAACATTGTACGGCTAAGTTACCCATTAAAGATTTAATATTTATATTGTTTATAACATGTTAGTCATCAAAGTGGCCTTGTTATTTACATATAGATGTTAAATATAATTAAATGTACTAATTGATCATGATTAAAGAGATGCTATAAATGACATAAAAGTTTTGATTGATCAATTGTTTTTACTATCTATACTCTAGGAGATTACCCAAAGGTAGATCATTGATTATAGTTAGTAATATGAATAGGATTAATCTTTTCTTACTATAGTCAATAGTATGTATACCCAAAGGTGGCATTCTTATTTGATTTGTGTATGATTTGATTAATTAAAATGGTATAAATCTAGCATCGCTGAAAGTGTGTATGTGTTTAAGTATTGCCCAAAGGTTGCTTAGATTCATACTATTAAGTTTCCATTATGATTATGAATCTGTATTAAAGTTTCAAAGCACTAATGGTTAAGCATGTATTAATGCTTGCAGCTTCATCAAGTTTGTTTGCATCTGCTAACTCTGTCGTGAAGTTTAATGGGCTCAATTATGGGGAATGGTCTGAACAGATCTGGTTTACACTGGGTGTTATGGCATTGGACTCTGCCATACTAACAGATGATGAGCCTGCAGCCATTATAGAAGAAAGCTCTGAAGCTGAAAAATCTCGGTTTGAGAGATGGGAGCGATCTAACAGGCTGAGCTTGAACCTCATGAGGATGACGATGGCAGAAAGTATAAAGCCATCTATGCCTAAGACAGAGAAAGCAAGGGAATTCTTACAGAAAATTAAGGAGTGTTCACAATCGGATTTGGCTGACAAGTCTATTGTAGGAAGCTTAATGAATGAGCTAACTACAAGAAAGTTTGACTGGTCTCAGCCAATCCATGATCATGTGACACACATGTCTAACTTGGCAGCAAAGTTATCGACCCTAGGAATGGAAGTGAATGAGCATTTCTTGGTCCAATTCATCATGAACTCTCTGCCTTTTGAGTTTAGCCAGTTCCAGGTGAACTACAACACCATTAAAGACAAATGGAACTTTAAGGAGTTAAAGGCTATGCTGGTTCAAGAGGAAGGGAGATTAAAGAAGATGAGAGACCATGTTGCTAATTTCGTGGGTCATGGAAGTGCCAGCAGCAGCAAAGGAAAACTGAGTAAAATGGGTAAAAAGAAGGATAAGACTTTCATGAAGGGACCTGAGAGTCAAATCCAGAAGGAGAGGAAGTGTTTCTTCTGCAAGCAAGTGGGACACTTCAAGAAAGATTGCCCTAAAAGAAAGGCATGGTTCGATAAGAAAGGTAAACATCACAGTTTCGTTTGCTCTGAATTGAACCTTATAGAAGTGCCTAATAATACTTGGTGGCTAGATTCTGGTGCAACTACTCATGTGTCTCATATTAAACAGGGATTCAGTTCGATCCAGCCTATAAGAGGACCTGAACAGTACTTGTTCATGGGAAACAGGATGAAAGCGCGTATAGAAGGCATTGGGACATATAAATTGATCATGGACACTAGTTGTCATGTGAATCTTGAAGGGTGTCTTTATGTACCTGAGTGTGTTAGAAATCTTGTTTCTGTAAGTAGGTTGGACAATTTAGGTTTTGATTTTAAGATAGGACATGGTGTATTCTCATTGTACCGAAATGATTACTTTTATGGTAGTGGTACTTTATTTGATTCACTTTATCGGTTCAATCTTGATGCAAAGTTCTCTGAATCCTTATTTAATATTGAAAGTCGTGGCATTAAACGTAGTGCATCAGATGAAAGTTCTGCTTTCTTGTGGCATCAAAGGTTATGTCACATTTCCAAAGAAAGGATGATGAGGTTGGTAAAGAATGAAATTCTACCTCAGTTGGATTTTAGTGATCTAAATGTGTGTATAGACTGCATTAAAGGAAAGCAGACTAAACATGTTGTAAAGAAACCAGCCACAAGAAGCACTCAGCTGCTTGAGTTAATTCATACCGATATATGCGGCCCTTTCGATGCTCCCTCTTGGAGTGGCGAAAAATACTTTATCACCTTTATTGATGATTACTCACGTTATGGATATACATATCTCCTGCATGAAAAATCTCAGTCTGTGAATGTCTTAAAAGTGTTCATTGATGAGGTGGAAAGGCAGTTGGAGAGAAAAATAAAAGTGGTGAGATCTGATAGAGGTGGTGAGTTTTATGGAAAATTCAATGAAAGTGGACAATGTCCTGGTCCATTTGCAAAGTTACTTGAAAGTAAAGGCATTTGTGCACAGTATACAATGCCTGGTACTCCTCAGCAGAATGGTGTAGCTGAGAGGCGGAATCGTACTCTAATAGAAATGGTTAGGAGCATGTTAAGTAATAGTTCTTTACCCCTTTCATTGTGGATATATGCATTAAGGACTGCAACATATGTGTTGAACCGGGTTCCTAGTAAGGCAGTTCCTAAGACCCCTTATGAACTGTGGACAGGAAGGAAACCTAGTTTAAGGCACTTACGTGTTTGGGGTTGCCCAGCAGAAGTAAGGTTATATAACCCACATGAAAAGAAACTTGATTCTAGGACTGTCAGTGGGTTTTTCATTGGCTATCCTGAAAAATCAAAGGGGTATACTTTTTACTGTCCTAAGCATAGTACGAGAATAGTTGAGACGGAGTAATGCTAGGTTCATTGAGAACGGTGAAACTAGTGGGAGTGGTGAATCTAGAAAGGTGGACATTCAAGAAATTCAGGACGAAGTTTCTTCTCCTGTTGTTTCACCTCCTATAGTTGTTCCTATTGTTGCATCACAGACAAATAGCACAATAGAACAACATGATGATGAGCTAATCCCACCAGATGATAATATTATCAATGAACCTGTCACAATTCAAGAAGAGAATAGTGCACCACAAGAACCATTAAGGCGATCTGATAGAGCAAGGAGATCTGCCATTTCTAATGATTATGTGGTTTACATACAAGATATCCATCAATTTCTTTGCTAGTACTCGAAGGGTGCCAAGCACATGGAGATAAAGTATTTGTCTGTCAAAGAAGAAGTACAGAAACGTAGAGTGTCCTTCGAGCACATAGGGACGGATATGATGGTTGCGGATCCGTTAACTAAAGGACTACCACCCAAGGCGTTCATTGGCCATGTAGAACGTATGGGTATTATAGATAAAGCCTTGCTATTTTAGATATGGAATGCTCATTTGTGTGTGACACTATGAATTCACTTAAAGTTATGTTTCTGTTTTAATTAAGTATGTTATTATTAAAGTATGTGTATACACTTATGGTCAGAGATAACATATGTTTAGTTTGAGAATTAAGGTTCTTCTCAAATGTAAGGAAACCTGTAGAATTATGACTAGTTTGTGATACATGGAAGGAATCATGTCGTTTAATGATGTGTGACCGCCATGATTCGATTGGTTCTGATTTTATTGTGGTAATTAAAGGTTATATGAACTTGATATAACAGTGCACATTATAGATATTAAACTATTAAGTTAACACAAAGGTCAAGTGGGAGAATGTAAGAATATTTGTATTCTTATATATGTGACCTATGTGTTTTTCAGTTTAATATAAAGATCAAGTTCTTATAGTTAATGATTCTAATATAAAAGATGATTCCATGATGGATTGGTTTCAATGAAAGACTTTAGAATCTGGGTGTATTGATAACCTCCTCCCTTACCCTATAATGTTATAAACATCTTTCTCTAATGGTCATATGTATTATATATATGATTGACTATAGATATCAATACATGTGTGAAAGGATGTGTTAAATGGTCGTGAGGTTACGTACGTAACCTTTGGTGTACATGTGTTTCTATTATGTATATAAGAGATCTCAGAATTAAGAGATAGAAAACAACAACAACAACAATCACAGACACACACCATACAACACTCGTATAAGAAAAGTCAAAGAGAGATTAAGGTTTGGATCCCTTGTCCATCAAAAGGGATCAGAAGGAGAAAGGGTCAAAGGGAGGAGAAGATCAATTGAAGTATTGATCTCACAACAAGACAGAAGAAAGCATGGATCAAGGTTAGTGTTTCTTTCTTCTTCTCTAAGAAACTGTTAGGATTGGATTATATCAAATCTAGATTATCTTGGGATAGATTTCATATGTGATAGAAATCATTAAAGTGGTTTACAGATGACATCAGGCACAGAGCTTCTACTGCTCCGAGGCCGCCGGAGTAGCAAGGACAACGACCAATGCAATGGTTAAAGAAGCTTATTTGTGGCTGATGATGAACAGTTGAGAGAGAGAGAAATACCAAATAATATAATTCTTTTATTAACTTTCCCCAAATTGGCAAAATGCCTTACATAGAATATTGTTTAAAAGGTACAAACACCAAAATTAATTAAAAACCGAAAGAGATAATATAAACCGAGATAGATAAGTGATATCATATCACTAAAATAACAAACATTTTAGTTCAATAGAAAGGAAAACAAGCCATTGGAATGTAAAAGATAAATGATGTCTACTACATATAGAGAAGAAGACCTCAACGATCGCTATGGTTGCTGTTTTTCTCCATCAACTTTAACTTCCACAGGTTTGCCATTAGGAGCAGCTTGAGAGGTGGATGCTTCTGCTGCTGCTGACTTGTGCTTTCTCGAGGAAGATGTTGCATTTGTTGATGTTCTTGCCGCTGACTAGACCATCCTTAAACAGTCCAACCATAAAGAATGGTCTTGTCAGCGGCAAGACCATCAACAAATGCAATATCTTCCTTGATAAAGCACAAGTCAGCAGCAGCAGAAGCATCCACCTCTCAGTTCTCTTTCATTGTACTTTGTCTTAACCTTTGGCCAAACGAATGGCAGAGACAAGGGCAGAGTTGATCCAAGGGTTTCTGACCATTCTGAGAGGAATAACTTTGCGGCATTCTGCACAAGTACGCTTGCCTTGACCAATAGTCCATTTCCCAAAGCATTTCATGCAGAAATTGTGCCCACATGGTGCCTGAAAAAAATACACATTCAAGATACCCATCAGCTCTCTTTATTAGTCTTCAAATTTCTCAAAACAGTTAGTCTTATTGTACACACTCATTTGCAGAAATTAAGTTGCCTAACAATTTTCAACAAAACGATAAATTAATCCAACCAAAATGTGTAAACAGAAGCAGGTACATTAACAACGTAAAGGAACGATTGAAATCTTTTTTTAATAAATGGTAAGCACAATTAAGTCCAGGCATGCTTTCTGTATACACGACAAAATGAACGGATTCTAATTGCTGGATTTGTAGTTTCATAAAGAAAAGCGAGAAAAGCGAGATCTAGATATTAACAGATATTTACAAATTCATCAAACTAACAAAAAAAAAACCTAGATATTTTATTAAAAAAAACCTAGATATTCATCAAGCTAAAATAGATTCGGTATTCAAGAGGTTCACCAAACAACAACAAAAACCCCAGATATTGAAGTCATTAAAAAAAAATTATATATATGAACAAAAATGAGAGATATAGGACAAACCGTGACGGGCCTATCCTCAAAGGCGAGAATGGCTGCGACAAGATCGTTGGATGCAATCGGAAGACAGTCACCTTCTCCCACTGTAGATTGGAAGCGAGAGTCTCCGGAGGGGAAGAGAGACATGACGCATGCCAAGGCGTAGCGCAAGTGCCGCACATGAGAGATTCCTCCCTCGGAGGAGTCATCTTGCATCTCATGCACACACCTGCGCCATTTTAAAGAAATGATCTGAGAGAGAGAGAGAGAGATATGGATAGAGAAATGTGTTTGAGAGATGATGAGATTCGAGAGAGTTGTGGTTCTTGTATTTATAGGGTCGAGAGAGGAGAGAATATAGGGTTGGTGGATTGAGAGGGAGACGCAAATTGCAGCAGCGGGGTTTTAATTTTTTTGAAATTCAGTCAACAAAAAGAAATGAAAATGAAAACAAATGATATCTAGTATTTCCATAAAATGGACGAATTGCCAAAGCAAATCGGAGAAAAAGATAAAACCAAATCAACTCATTAGGAATAAAATATCTCCTAAAGTCAAAACAGAGGGAAAACAAAAAATAATACTAGTTAGGAAAGAAATCTCGCCAACTCCAACTGTGATTTTTTACTTTCTATTAGCTTTTGGTATAATCATCATCCCTAATTTAATATTATTATTTGACATTGTCCTACATAGTGTATAATTGTTTTGGGAAAATTAGCTAAAAGAGTCATATTTCTTGTGGTGTGTGGAACTACATATTTTTTAACTTTGACATTATAATGAGTCAAAACCACCCAAAAAAATTATAAAAAAATCAAATCAACATTTAAAAAGTAATGAATCATGGTTATTTTATGTTAAACTATTTTTAAAATAATAAATATGTGTTTTTGTTAACATTATTGTATAACTTATCTCTTTTATTAGTCATATCCTGGCTTGCCTCATCTAGATATCAAAACTAGGTTACATAAAAGACGTACTCTGGCTTACTCTACATAGAAAACTCTTCTGTCTACTCTAGATTTTCAATATGCCTCATGTAATATTTGTATTTTGCGTCATGTAATTTGGAAGATAAATCTAGCTACTCTAAAATACCAATTTAGCTTACCTAATCTAGATTTTATATTCTGCTTCGTTTTTAATTAAAGAAACCCTAAATCTATAGATCTTTATTTCGTGTTCTGGCTTTTGAACTCTTACTCTTGACAGTGAAAGATGGATATGCTGCCGATCTATACGATTTGTGGTTTATGGAATTCAATTCGCAATAGTTGGAAATTTGTTATTGATAAAGAGAGATGATGTAGGATGATTTCATTTGAATGTAATACTACCATTGAAAAGTTTAAAGTTATGGTTTCAGAAGAATATGCCTTAGAGCAGATTATCCTTGATATGGAAATCATATATTTGCCTCATGACTTGGTTGGACAGTTTGAATATCCTTTAATGATTGTCTCACACAATCGACAATCGAAAAGTTTGATTTGTTATGTAAGTAACAAAAAAGAAGTTTGGTTGTGTGTGATATTGAAAGACTAGTTTCAATGACTTTCTAGATTGTAAAAAAATAAAAATAAAATTTAGCCTTTTAAAAACTAAAAATAATTATGCTCTATTATTTTTCTCATTTTTTATTTTAAATAATTAAGGTAAATAAATTTATATTAAATAAAGTCTAAATACCATAACACCATAAAAAAAAGATGTAGTTCCACAAACACCATAAAAAAAATATGACCTATTTAGCTAATTTTCCCACTTTTGTGTGGCTTGATCACTCACTATTACCGATTAAGTGTTTCGTTTAGATCTTTTCATAAAACTCCATTAACTCTATATATGTTGCACACAGCATAAAGTGCTTCGTTTAAAATCCTTTTGTGACTTGTCCTGAACAATATTATTAAAGTCGTTGATTATCTCTTTCACTACATGTACATTCCAATTTTTAAATGCTTCTTCTCTCACCTTTTTAAAAGATACTAGGAGAGAACCCGCGCAATGCGCGGGTTTATTAAACCAAATATTTTTAATTTAATTATTCAGAACATTAGATTCGAATATATCATTTGTTTTTTACTCGAATATATTAGATTCTGTAAGTTTTGCATTTTGTTTTTTTTCATATAGTTTTAAAATTTAGTTGTTATTTACGTGAAATCTTATATAGACTCATAGTGAATAGTTTCATATGTTTTTTGTTCTTTTATACAATAATTTATCGACTGGAGTTGAGTTCTTCTAATTTTCCTTATACTAACAATCATTATAGATTGATTATTATCCTACAGACTCATAGATAATAATAATTGCAATCCTTTTTAAAAGGAAATGAAATGAGCTAATTAGCCAGTAAGCCCATTTAAAGCTACCATGGAAACGAAGAGGTCCGATAAATAATCAAGCCCATCAAAACGAACAGCATTACACATAATTTTGATTTAGATTTTTTTTTTTTTTAATACGAAAACGACGTCGTTTTGGTGTAAGACGAAAAAAAAAAAGATAAAGCGCAAAACGACGTCGTTTTGGTGTAAGACGAAAAAAAAAAAATAAAGCCAAAACGACGTCGTTTTGGTGTTAGGCGAAAAAAAAAAAAAAAAAAAGAGTGCCACGTGTCAAAGGCTGGAGATTGTCCAAGCCTTATTAGTTATCACAGAAGCTACTATTACAACAACAAATGACAAATCATGAAGACCCTTTAACAAAAAAAAAACAAATGCCAAATCATCACCTATGCGTATTCTTGCTAGATTGCTTTAGGTGTACCATTTTAGTTAAGCAATGCCTACATAATGCACAAAGAAACTGAAGATTTTTCAACAAAACCTTTGAACAGGAAATAGTTCAGGGAGCGAAGGGACTGAATTGGCTTGTGCACAAGAAAGTACCTCACCGTTTGTTGTGACAACATACGTCTCTGGGTCCGTTGTGATGTTTCAGCTTCACGTTGAGTTTTGTGTCCGTTGTGATGTTTCAGCTTCACGTTGAGTTTTGTGAGCTCCCTCACGTTTGATACCGCTACAACTCTCTTCTTGAGTCCATATGCGTCTATTATAAAGAAACTATACTTATGTTAACTGAATCAAACGGAGCAAGAGATGAAGATAATTATAGTATGATAAGAGATAGTCATGCCTTGCTGACAAAATGCAAAAACGTTTTCGCTTCCGGCCTTTCCAAATGCTCCAAACATAGGTCTAGTCAACTAAAGAGTGTCGTCATAAGATAAAGGCAAAGAGTGTTATATGTCAAATAGGTCAAGCAGAGGAAGATAACATGTCCAAAAATAGTAGTTAGTGATGATTGCCGGCTCCGGAGTGGATATACTAGAATTTGCTGTCTTGCACTTATATTAAGATTGAACGTTTGTCTAGTCAACTAATTACTCATACTGATTATAGATTGCAGATAGTGTCGATATTTTAATATCTATCTTTTCAACAACGCTTTGTTCTATTTTTGTATAATTGCAACAACTAGTTTCATATTGTACTAAACAGTACTACTACATTTAGATAAAAGGGTAATTATATATCCCTTTAATATCAAGTTTTCACCAACAAAATTTGACGCTTATCTTCTCTCTCGCTCTCTCTCGTGTTGAAGGCTTTTTCGTGCGTATGTCCAGCTCCAATCGTAAAAAAGTATTTGTTTAAATAATTTGTTTTCCCGTCGTTAGTTTCCTCATTTTTCTCACCGGAAAAAAGAAAAGAAACAAAAAATCTTTAGGAAATTTATCAGACCCATTCATCTGACAAACAACATTAAAAAAAAAAAAAAATCAAAAGAACTACTGATTATTTTCGTGCTTTGTTATCATTAATTTAGGGATTATTTTTATTTAATTACTAAAAATCGAAAAAAATTGCAAAATGTACGGGAATGGGCCGGTGTTCAAGGCGGAGGGAGCGTCGTTCCGGGATCAACCTTACGCCGGACAGCTTCCTCAGGGATTATGGACCACCGGTCTCTGCGATTGTCACGAAGATGGTCACATTTGTACGTTCTCTTCTTAATCAATTCTTTTCTTTTTATATATATAAAAAAAAACAATATCTTCCTCTTTGATTGATCTTTTTTCTTTGCTTCAAAACGGATTCTTGGAAAAAAGGTGTTCAAACGGCTATAATGCCATGCGTCTCCTTCGCTCAAAACACCGAGATCGTAAACAGAGGAGCCATACGTAAGAAACAAGAAAAAAAAAACCCATAATTTACATTTTTTTATAAATAACATTGTTTTTTTTTCTTGTGTAAAAATTTGCGAAATGCATGCAGCTTGCATGAGCGCAGGTTTGATTCATCTAGCGTTAGGGTTTTTGGGTTGTTGCTGGCTTTACGCATTCCCAAGCCGGTCTAGGCTTAGGGAACATTTCGCATTGCCTGAGGAACCATGTCGTGACTTTTGGGTCCATCTCTTTTGCACACCATGTGCTATTTGTCAAGAATCTAGAGAACTCAAGAACCGTGGCGCTGACCCTTCTATCGGTATAGAATCTAATCCTTTTAACCTAAAGGAATTACAATGAAGTATTAAACTTTAAACTCAAAACCAGTCGACAACGAATGTAGTAGCAAGATTATTTTATTTATACTATAATGTTGAATCATCTTAAAATTTCAAAGTAAGAAATTCTTGAAGCTTCTACAAGACTCGCTCAAAAAGTATTTATTGTTTTTGGTTATTATTTTTCAGGTTGGCTTTCGAATATAGAGAAATGGAGCCGAGAGAAAGTAACTCCTCCTATAGTTGTACCAGGCATGATCCGCTGAGAGTTTCATGCATGAGCATTGTCTCTTGATATAACTTATTTGTAGATCATGTACTTAGTTTCTGTTCTTTCTTACCTCAGATAAGCTTAGGAAAAAAAAAAGTGACATAAAAACGATGATTGTTTCTGAATGCTAACGTTCACTAAGCTTTATAACACATGATAATCTAAAAAGTCTAAAGAGGAGAGAGTTAAATTATGCTAAAAACTGAAGATCTAAGACCAGAACTATGCTTTTTTCCTTTGGGTCATGACAGGGCTTTAGTCTCTAGGTCGGGCTAGCCATAGAGAGCTTAGCGCTCTAAGCCGAGAGATATAGTCATGGATGACTAAAAACGCACGAGCAGCTTGTCTTGTGGTGAGAATCCTGTGAAGCTGTTGCAGAGTTTGTTGCCTCAACAGATCTGCCTGCAAAAGATTTAATCTTTTTCAAGATCTTGATTTGTAAAATGCCCATTGTTTGTTATTGTCAACTAAAGGTTATGTTTTTTGGTTTATTACCTGACGAAGGAAGTTTTCAAGATTGCCAAGCTTCACCATAGCCATAGCCATATGTCCCATATAGTCAGCAACATTTGCTGAAGAGTTTGGACCCATTGAAGCAGAGGAAATCGTCTCCAGAAGCGATTGTTGCAGAGCTTCCATGCCTTGTGACAGAGCATCCTCTGCTTGCTGAGACGACTGCTGAAGATTGCAGATTCCTATCAACTGCTGATCAGTCAAAGGATCCACATGGCTCCCCAATATCTATAACAAAAACATACAAAAACCGGATTATGAAACAAAGAAAGATCAAGAACCAATGAATGTGAGAGTGATTCTTGATTACCTTGAGTAGCTCAGATGATCTAAACCCACCTAACCACATGAACAGTCTCTCAGCAGGAGTGTTCCACATGCCTGAGAGCATGTTAAAGACGTCTACTTTAGTGCCAATTCCCTTTAGCCTGAAGATCTCATCGTAGTGTCTCATCACAGCATCCACTAGCACGCGTAGATCGTTGTCACATAACTGTGAATTCACACCGGCTCTTAAGTCGTTTATCATCTTCTGATGTTCTTCCATCCAACGTGCATATTCCAGTTCAAATGAAAACACACCTGCAACAATCAACAAAACCAACTTCCATCCTTAGTAAAGATCACTTCAATATAAGTCCAAAGAGCCAACAAAATGTTATGTGAGGATGTTGAAAGTCTTGCCATTTCCAGCAGCTAAATGATTGTGATCCCCTGACACTCCGCTTTCAACCGAACATCCCTGCATACAGATGAGTAAAGCTTGAAGCTTTCTTCTTCCACAGAAGCATTTTAAGAAGAGAATAGTCACTTTCAGACCTGTTGGCGAGCTCTTTTGAGCTCTTCCTCTAGCTGTGCTAGCCTGATTCGGCTGTTCTCAAGTTGCTGAACATATGCCTATTAAAGAGACAATGCCATTCAAAGATGAAGTGAGAACAGAGATAGTTGAAGATGAAAGATACAATTCAGTGAATTCAAGTACTTTACTTTTTTCCTCAATCGACTTTTCCTAGCAGCTTCTCTGTTCTGAGCAAGTCTTCTAAGTGACTGCCAAGAATTTAAATGTCAAATTTGATTCACACTTCCAACCAAAACTCAAGAGATTCAATCAAAAGATCTAACCTTTGGCTCACTAGGTTTCACCTTGGATTGATCTGAACACTCTGTAGCTAAAAGCATCCCTTGATGAACTCCATTTAACTACACAACATTAACAAATCATAAGCTAATTTATAAACATAAACCCTTGAAGTAATTTACATTTAAAGCCATGGGCCATTGGATTCATATTATATACCACCAAAAAGCACAATACTTTACAAGCAATTGCATTTTTATAAGCCATGGGACCAGTGAACTTCACATTATATAATCAGGAGTAAAAAGCAAGGAACTTTACAAACTTTTAAGCCATGGGCCATTGAGGTTCATATTCATATCCATAAAAAAAGGAAGAAACTTTCCATGAAATTTATAAATTTTGCTATTTTGGGGGTTACAGTCACAGTCACTTAACAAAACAAGGGACAGTAAGTTCAACAACCAAGAATCAATGGTGAGTCCCATTAGACAAAAGATAAAACAGACAAGGCCTTACTGAAATGGACTAGAGAGAGAGTGAGAGAGAGAGAGAGAGAGACATAATGTGAGTTAAAAAATAAATATTTGAATCGAATTCCAACTTTCCAAGATGTCTCCTCTAACCAATAGGGACAAAACAAAACTCCAAAGCTAAGAGAGAAACAGAAATGAAAACAGAATCTTTTGATTATTTTTCTTGTGGTGGACAGTGATGATTAACGAAGAAGACAAAGGAACAAAACCTGAGACTTGTCATCGGTATCAATATCTGTTGAAGTGTCAGTATGTTGACTGTTATCAGCCATGGCTGAAACCGAATCGCACCACTTCTCTAAACTGCTGTTCACTTCTCCTCCTCCTCCTCCTCCTCCTCCTCCTCCTCCTACTAACCTTGTCCCTTTCTGGTACACTAACTGCTCTGTTTCCAAACACTCCTCTTCTCCTTCAAGCCTATCCCTCAAACCACACTCCATGGCCTTAAAAAGAGAGTAGACATTGAAAGGAACAAGCTTTTATTATTAAAACTTGTGAGGAATATATTTTACAGAGATGGGTTTGGTGGAAAGGAATCAACTTTTTACCGTATCAAACGTCGTGTAGTGTAAGTTGTTGGAAGCAATAGTGACATCTGCAAGAAATCAGAAGATTGGAAACTACTGAGATTGATTCCCTCAACGAAGCTTTTGAAGTACAAAGAAAGAAGAAGAAAAAGAAGCTAACTTGGACTTAAACCAACAGCTTCGTCATGGTGAAAAGCAGAACCATTGATGGGTTGATGATGAAACTCGTCAAGACAACTATCTCCTCTGTTTCTCAAAACAGAGAAGAAAGATTAGTTTTTTTCTTTGTCACTGTTGAAGCTATTAAAGAGGAGATTTTTGAGATGTATATACCTGAAGAAGAAAGAGGATTGAGTGTAGAAATCAGGGTTGAAAGGAACCGTCTTGAAGCTGCTCTGCATTTTGTTAAAACGACACCAAAATCAGAAAAAGAGAGGAAAAGGACTGAGCTTTCTTGTGCATATGGGTTTCAGAAAGAGGAAGAGGAAGAAGAAGAGAGTGAAGTTAAAAGGGAAGAAGGAAAATTCATTAAAGGGTGAAAAGATGGCGAATCAGTACGGCTGAGAGAGGAGGATTCATCATCATTAATAAATACGAATTATAATATATAGAGAGAGACAGAGAGAGATATAGAGAGAATCAGAGAAAAAGGATTTGAGTCTGAGATTTATTGAAAAGTTTTGTAATAAAAATGAATTGCGTCTGAGAGGGTGGGATTTTAGTTTCCCAATACCCAACACACACACCCACGTATCCCATTTTTAAACCATTGTTTCCTTTTTGAACATTTCTGTTATTACAAAATAGTTAAGTTCTGTAATAAAAATGGTAAGAAGAGTTAATAAATAAATATTCACTGTTCCTAATGATTCCACCATCTTCTGTCGCTATAAAACTAGAATTTTATTATATATAGTACCATGCATTGCACATCATCTTTTGAATATATCTTTTAACAAAAAAAATCTATTGCATATATCATCACCTTTTGTAGTTTGTACGATTTATTTGCATTGGTGTAGATAATTTGTTCTTTTAAAGATAAGAAAGAAAGAAAAAAAACGAATCATCTTCAAAAGTTGCGATGACTGCTTTTTGCGTGGTAATACCAATGGATCTGAAAGGTAACGGTTCTTGTATGATGAGAAAATATGACTACGGAAGATTCTGACAGAAAGTTGATTAGTTTCAATGGGTTTTAATCAGAACTAGGTTGACTAAAGTACTAGCTGAAAAATTAAGAAATAATTTATTGATTAGCCAAAAATAATTAGTATTTAAGCCATTTTTATCAAATCGAATTGTCATACAAAGCTTCATATTCTTGGAATATCTTAATAGTTTATGGTGTTGTTGTTTTTTGCTAATCGTCGTTGTAAATGTTGGTTTTCAGTTTCTTAAAACATGATTACCATTTAATAAAGAAATCGTAAATCTAAACATTAAGGTATCACCTAAACATTATGTAAAATACCAAAACAGAAAATACTAAAGTCTTGAGTAGTTTTACCATGAATTGATTCAAGGCCATGGTCAGACTAAAATATAGTAAGTCGATCGTCTTGAATCACAATGATCATTTCAATGGTACAGAGTTTGGTCATGACTTCATACTATTGTAATAACTAAAGCCTTAAAAGTAAAAAATGGTTTACACCCAAAAGAAATGATGTACATCAATCCATTAATAAATAAAACAGGGCGAATTCAGTCAAATGGTGTAAGGAAATTAATGTTAGAGTTTTTGGGAAAGAGAGATAAAATTCTGGCGTTTTTCGCCAACCACACTGTTACTACTATTTGGTACCAATGTTTAATAGTATCGATTTAATAAAAACGCAGAAACTAAAATTTATAAAGTAGTAATCAATACTTTTTGTAGATTAGAGAAGAAACTCACAGTGGACTAGTGGAGCATAGTTGGTAACAGTTTTAACGATCCCATAAAGTTAGAAATGTATAGTGTCTCCGAGAATTTAGATACAAGACTAAATTGTAATTGTTATAACTTTTTAATACTTCTGGTAATTTATAAGAATGAATTAGTATAATTATATATGTAAATGCAATGCAGAGCCTGGAGATTTCAGATACAACGTCCTTTCTATCTTGTTACTGTCTGTCAAACTTTGAAAATGGCCTCTCGACACTGCACTCTGAGTTTCTGTTTTTCCAATGTACAAAAAAAACAAAAAAAAACTTATTTTGTTTTATCTAAAATAATTAAAGAAATAATAACGCTTGAGTTATGACTTCTTCTAATCGATTTTTTTTCAAAATATATCAAAGCTGTAATCAGCTACACCATTATTAGATTCTACTCATGAATCATAATGATGTATTGGATCTTTGAAACTGTGCGTTAATATACTTTTTCCTCCTCTCTCCGGTAAAAAGTCAAAAGAGATTGAAATTTACCTAGAGCCTAGCAGGCTAGCCCTAAGCTGTTGTTTTGCAATGAGTATTATTTTGTTTTGTTTTTGAGTAATTCAGTTAACTATTTAAGTTTAATAAAAATATATATTAATGAAATTAGTTGCCATAACGCAGGCAATAGTCTTGGGCTCTTGGCTGGCTTCTGCCCTGAAGATGATGTGATGTTGATGGAAAGCAAATTAAAAATCTCCCAGTTCTTTAAAATTTTTAGTAAATCTAAACACTAATAAATGAATGGATTCTAATAGTATCCCTATATAATAATTAAAAAAACAAACAATGTAGCCAGAGATATTAACTTATATTCAGTGGACCGATGAAGAAGAGCATTAAAAAGAAAAGCTTTGCTTGAAAGAAACATCTTCCTCTTATAAATGAAGAAACTATTATGATCCCTTTGCATCTTTGTAGATCCCAAATTAAGTTTTCACATTTATTACTGTCTCCTCTTCTAAAACCAGCAAACTCTCGTTTCTCTCGGAGGCTCCATTGACTTTTTCTTCTACCAATATAATCACTCTTTTAACTCTAACAATAAAAAGAATTGCAAATTTATTTTGGTATAAACAAGAAATTGCATATAACATATCTTTTATCCAAAATACAGAAAACGTACACAATTTTTTCGAATGGTTTGGACCAGAGAGGCAGAGAGAGTACATTGGCAGAGTCAATGACGTTTTAGCTCTGTTTAGTCTTGTGGGTATTTTCTTGTTTTTTACTCGTCAGAATCCGATCTTGTCTCTTTCTCTTCATTACTTTGAAAATTTTGGTAGTGAAATCGCAAGAGCTTTTCTCTGTTTGGAAATGACCCAATGACCCCATTTCTCTGCATCCTATGTATATGTACCGATTTTACTTTTTAAAAAAAATTCTGATTTCACTTTGTTTTCTACCGTTTCTTTTTTCATTTATAATAAGCTTTAGTCATTTTTTAAACTTTTTATAGAAAAAGGGTAAAGTCTTTCTCTTCTACGAGTTATTTACGCTAAGACGCACTTTTGGCAGTTTCCTATCATAAAAATACACTTTGCGATTAAGGTGCACTTTTTGAGAATTTTGTGCCTGTTTTTCCCAAAAATGGCCTTCGATAAAAACTGTTTTTACTGCACCTTTATCCCTTGGCCGGAGCTTTTGTCGAATAGCACTAGACTTCCGATTCAGAAAATTGGATTGTCAATTGATTCACATTAGTCTTCTGAAAAAACAACTCCAAAGTGGTCGTGGTCGGTGGTGGCGGCGAGGAGTCCTCTTCAACCGAAGAAACCTCCGGTGACTTGTGGTGGTTTTGCTTATTATCATCGTAGCTGAATCCAAACCCTAGATCTAAACAACCTTTAAGCTCCTCGAGATCATCATCCGTCAAGCTCTTAGCGCTCGTCAGATCATCCGGCGCCGTAGCAGCCTCGACGTAACCTTCCAGCAACAGTTGGCTCTTCTTCTTCTCTAACTTTTTTTCTAGTCTCTCCGCAAAAAGCCTTCCTCTTCTGGTCTGGTTTGGCAGATGCTTTAGAAGTTAGAACACAAAGTCTCTAAATTCATGTCCATAGATTAAGAGTTGTGACGGGAGATCAATCATGTGGAGTGAGTTGATTATTTTCGGTGACAATCACACCAGAAATTCTGTGAAAATCGATGTTATTTTCTTTTGCGAAGGTTTGATTTGGGGATTTTTTTCCATGTGGACATTAAAAGTGCAGCTTCTTACTGATTTGTGGATATGCTATTATGGACATGTAATAGTGGATTGTAGGTTGGTATTCAAATTAGCTGTGTGAATTAAAGTGTTAAGATTGTCATTCAAATGGCATGTGCATGGATATGTCTTTATGGATAGAAGATAATGGACGACTGCAAACACATGAAACTGTTTCCGAGGTTTTTTGTTCTATTTTTATATGGATGGTAAGTGAGGTGTAGCTGTTTCAAGCAATGAACAAAATTGAAGGGATAGGTTAGAAATGTATGCCATGATATGAACTTATACTTATGCACTGGATAGATGAGCATGGATATATGTATTTCAAAATACATGTACATCGCAAGCTCGTAGAGTTAGTTTACAGTCTTCTCTTTGTACGATCATAAACTCTTAAGAAGTTATCTGGATTTAGTCAAATCTTGTTTTCTAAACTAAGTCTGCATTATATACAACCATAATCAAATTCGATGGTTTTTTCTGTTTTTGGTAATTTGAAAACTCTCATTTGGATTTGGTTTTGAAACAACAATCTTCTCGAGTAGTGGAGAAATAATCTTAGAAGCAAATGGAGAGCCTTGTATGGAGACGTCCAAATGGAGAACTTCGTATGGACACGTTAAGACAAAACTAAAGCAAGATATGATACTTGTACATAGGTTTGACTCTGCAGCACCGTATTAATAAAAAAATTAGACAAAAAACCATATGGATAAACTGTTCTGGACAATGGCATATGGATAGGAAGACATTAGAAAAAGCAAAGATATATGGCCACACTTGCTCAAAAATGTGGACCTATCTGCGTGGATACATATATGTAAATACACTATGAATTTTTTTTTAGTTTCATGATTTCATAGAGCAATAAACTGAGTTTCACGTTCAGTATTAAAATAGATATTAAAGATTATGATGGAGATATAACAATTAACCCACACAAAAGTCTTGATTATAAGCCAAAACAGAGTCTGAAACCTTGGTGGATTTCTCATGTACAGACGTTACCAAAACCTTGGTCAGGAAAGATAGTGAGCATCAACTGATTATTGTGATAAGATATGAACTCTCCTTTTGCTTCATTGTATATATTCTCATAGTTTCAAGGCTTCAATTTGGCAAGGCCTGAAAGCCATTAAACACATAAGAATAGATGAAAAGTATAGAAAACAATGATGGAAAGAGATATTTAATCAAATAGTAGGTGGAGAAGTTAGCATGGACAACTTACAAAACCTTTGTGTTCTCTTGGCTAATCAAATCTCTGGAAAAACAAAAAATTGAAACCTCATTTAACGAAATATAGATTTAGTGAACCAAGCTAGAGAAATAGCATCCAAATAAACAATCTCGTATGGACAGTGATGTGTAAATGATCCAAGACAGCAAAAAAGAATACATCCAAATGGACAACCTCATATGAACATACTACTGAGGGTTATATCAGTTAAGTTTTTTTGTAAACCAAGAAAACAAACTGGAAACATCCAAATAGACAACCACATATGGACACACTACTATGGATACATCGAAGTGTTAGTAAACCAAGATAACAAAATGGATACATCCAAATGGACCTATCTGTATGGACAGAATATTGTGAGGAACAATCATTCTTAAGTTCATCTCAGTGGAAAAGCAAAATGTAAACCTAATTTAGTGAGATATAGTTTTAGTAAATTAAAATGGTATCCAAATAAACAACCTCGTATGGACAAAAGTGTATATATGAACCAAGATAACAAAAATGGATACATCCAAATGGACAAACTACTCTGGTGACGAATATCAAGTGTAGAAAGTTAGGAAAATACCGATTATGAAACATTCAAGTAGCTTCTGAAAAAGCTATATATATATATATGAAGATTGCACACAGGTTTGACTCTGCAGCACCATGTAAATACAAAATTTGACAAAAAAACCATATGGATAAACTGTTCTGGACAATGGCGTATGGAAAGGAAAACATCAGAAAAAGCAAAGATATATGGACACACTTGTTCACAGTTATGGACCCATATGCGTGGATATTTATATGTGGATATTGAGGTATATACAAAATCATATGGATACAGTCTCATGGAACCCTCTTGTGTTTGATGTTGAACCTGCAACAAACTAACAATCTCAAGCGCTTGATGGAACTATCCACATGGATGTGTGGGTTTGGACATCAACTGGATGGATATATGCTTAAAAAAATATACAAAAATCAAAGCAATAGTTTCATAGACCATAATCAAAGCAATAGTTCCAAATAAGAACATAATCAAGTTTTTCCATATCACAAATGGACAATCTCAGAATGAACCTAATCGCTTCAAATTGGCAACACAAAAAGCTACAAAATCGTATACATTTGTAGAGAGAAACTAATGCGTTGTTGAAAAAACTAAATTTTGGAGACGCACACATGGATATAATAGTATGGATGTGCTACCATTGGAAGGCATGTAAACACATCGACATGGATACCAATTTGAGACGAATGCGTTAACAAAATGGTCAGAGCGGAAACATCTCTTAGTTGTTTATCACGATTGATTGATGGTGGGTCGGAAACACCTCTTAGTTGGTCTCGGCGGATTTAGGGTTTTTTGGCTAAATCCATAAATCTCCACTGATTTTTGTTTACGAAGGAAATACTCGAAGTTGTGTGTCGGAATAAAAAAATTCAGGCTGGGATTAGGAAATCACGGTGGCGACGGAGGGTGAAGATATCGCTATCCTGAGTGAGAAAAAAAGAGAAGGTAAATTCCATGAGTGAATCAGTAAGGACATTATTGTCTTTCTCTATGTTGAAAGTGCATCACAAGTTGAAAGTGTGTTTTCTTGTTATATGAAAGTCAATAAGTGTGTATGAGCGTAAATAACTCCTCTTCTACGAAGTTAAATTTACAGTTTAGATTATTACATTTGACCAAAACAAAGGGTCTAAATGGTAACCGCTGAATGTTGCTGAATGCGGAATCCAGCGGAATTAAATTGGAATTGTTGCAGAATCTGGCTGATTAATTAGTAATATGAATGGTAACAGCTGAATGTTGCTGAATGCGGAATGTTGTTGAATGAAGAATAAATATTTAACAAATTATTTGTATAACAAATAACAAAAAATTCACCAAATTAAGTTAAAAAAATAAATATAAAACATATAGTGATAAAATAACTAAATAATAATTAAATCAATTAAATAATTTAAAATATATATGATTTAGAAATCATGATTATAAATAATTTTTGTAACATCAAATGAATTTTAAAACTTATTATTATGAAATATCTAAATAATAGAATAATAAAAAAATTATTTAAAACTTTTAAAATTTAGGAATTTGGATCGATAATAATTTATTAATCAAAAGTTAAAACAAAAATAAAAATAATCATTTAGAAAGATTTTTTTTTTATATTATCAATTTTATTAATAAAAATCATCTTTTAATTTTCACATAGTACCACATGTTGTTTTTTGTTCTTCTTACATGAATTTTATTGTTATAATTTAAAAATTTATATCAAATTAAATATATATTATAGTGAAATAATTTTATTTTTCAGTGGTATTCGAGAGTTCCCCAATTATGAAGAAAATATATATTTATGAAATAGCTAAATAATAGTTATATCAAAATATTTTAATTTAAGAATTTTTTATTCACAATAATTTATTAAACATCAAAATTTAACTCATTTAAATTTAAAACATACATTTTTTATATTAACAATTCATTAATGAAAAGCATCCCATATTTGTTGTTTTATTCCTTCTCGTATTGTTTGCATATAGACACCATCTGTTGTTTCCTCTTGTTCTTGCAAAAAAATTACTTCTTCGCCTTCTCCACCTTCTTCGCCTTCTTCACCTTCTCCATTACTATTAAACTGTTCTCGTGGTATTGCGTCAATATACGCATCATCAAAATCAAAATCTTGAATTTGAGAAAGACGAATGAAGTTATGCAATCCAGCTGTGCTTATGATAATATTGTTTTGAATTTCGACCCCATATCTGGGAAACTCTGATAAAATCCTCCATTTTTTCTTCCAAACTCCAAATGTTCGTTCAATCACTGAGCGGAGTGAAGAATGCCACCGATTAAACAACTCTTCTTCACCTCTCGGTGGGGAGCCAACTTGAAAATGTGGCAAATGATACCTATGACCTCTAAATGGAGCTAAATATCCTCTTGTATTAGCGTAACCGGAATCTACGAGATAATACTTGGATGGCGGAGGAATTGGAAAAGTTGAATCACGCTCCATTGCATAAGACAAAACTCTAGCGTCATGTACGGATCCAGGACATCCTACAAATATGTAAGTGAATAACATATCATAGTTGCATATCGCCAAAACATTAATGCTTGTTTGTGAATGCCTGTTATAAAATCGAGCTGCCTCGCCACCAGCTACCATAACCGTACAATGAGTGCCATCCATTGCTCCAATAAAACCATTAAAATAAGGCCAATATTGAGTATTATCTCGTAAACCTCGAGGTACTTGTCGGAGCTGCTCAGGAGACTGCTTCTTAAGTAATCTACCAGATAGTTTTCTGCATGCTTTAAGACATTCTTGAAATTTGCGTCCAACTGTTTCTTGTGCGCGTCCAAATAAGAGCCCAACCGAGTGTTGTGTCATGTTATGACCACATATAACAAGAAACATTGCCACTGTTTCTTCTACCGATATGTTTTTTGTGTTTCTCACTCCAAAATCTGTGTGCAATGTCTCACATAGACGTGTAAAGACCTCTATACGCATCCTCAAAAGATGTAAGCAATCTCTTGGATAGTTATAAATTCTTGTTTTTATGTTGCTCCATCCTAAACCCCATTCAGCTCCCATTGGTTGTCGATTATAATACATTTTGTAGTAATCTATCACAGGCCTGAAGAGTGCTTCCATGACATCCATGTGCTCCAGAAAAATAAGTTCAAGTAGCTCATCGTCCGTGAGGTTATGTAATCCACGTGAATATAACTCGATAATGCGAGAAACCTGAAGATAAATAATAATTCATTAATTAACACTTAAAACATCAAGAAACTAGTATCAGCTGAATAAAAAATTATATTTAATACATATTAAACATTTTTAAAATTAAAAGACTATTTTAACTAGTTGTCTCCATCATTATCATTGTTTCCAATTGTGCGATTGAAATCAGACAAATTAAAACGATCAAGTAACTCGGATGCAGACGCAGGTCTATATGCAAAACCTTCATCAGAGCTAACTCTTGGATTTGAGGACTCATCAAACTGTGGGTTAGAGTTTGGAACTTGAAATCCTTGTCTTCTTCTGAATTGGTTCGGTGAACCGGAACTTACAAATTGTGAAAACCCTCCCAAATTTGAAGTACCATCACCACCAAAATTTGAAGTTCCTCCGATGTTGAAATTTCCAGCATTATTGAATTGTGAAAACCCTCCTACGCCAGGAGAACCAGATCCACTACCAAATGATCCTCTACTACTTGGCCCGCTAGAACCACTAAGCTGACGTTTCCATGGACTACCCCGAAAAGTGCCACTTCGATCATAACCTGTCACCCCTTCGAGAAAACGAATTCTCTCTTCATTATTTTTTAGCAGCACAAACCTCTTTTGCTCGAACGGGTCTCTTAAAATCTCCGATGATGCCCACCAAAAATCTGTAAATTTTTCTATGCCTTGTAATTCATTTAGTTGCAACCATGATTCACGCTCATAATCTTCATTCGCTTGGCTACGTGCATTGAGCATCTGGATTGGAGTTTGCATAGTTGCAAGATATGACTCAATATTTGTTAGATGTGTGTCCATAACAGCTCTTCTTCGTGGAATTTGTGTTGTCTGTCGGCTGGATTGGTTTCGTCCTCTATTAGTAGTTCTACCACCTCTGTTACCATGTTGCCTAGATCGTCGGTTATGTGTAGGTATCTCAATCGGCACTGATGAGTGATTTTCCATTGGTTGTTGTGGTTGCGATTCCGGTACACCATAAGTGAAGCCTTCTTCATTATTATCATCATCATCTTCTCCGGACTCTTGTTCTTCTTCATCATTATCGCTTTCAACTATTTCATCTATTTGGCTTGCTGAAACCATATAGTCATTCACAACACAATGAGGACCAAACACTTTGTGCATCAAGTCTATGCATGGCAGAGGATTTTTTTTTAATCTTGATGCTCCTTCCGTATCCTACATTCAATAAAATTTTTAATATTTTTCAAACAATGATTTAAATTTAAGTTAATTTAAATACAATAAATAGGAAAATTAATAATTATACCTTTTTTCTATCTTCCCACCATTTTTCATCCATGGTTATTTTTCCGGTTTCTCGTTCAATGTTTGTACCAGTACGAACAACAAGTCTTTGATACACCGTGTACAATTTTTTTAAATCGTCATGTTTTTGTTTACACTTCTCCCAATCAATTGTATAGCCTGTCTGTTCACGGAACTTCCTGACTATATTATTTTTACCATCTCTATATGGTAAAGTCGAGACATAGTTTATTTTTTGTAGTTCTTCATCTAGTAATTCAATAAATAAGCAATTCATTCTTGGCAACCATCTAGAAAAAGTCTACAATTATAAATAACAGAAATTGTTAAATTAATTCCTTGTAAGTAAATATGAAAACTAAATCAAATTATATTTATACCGTATTGTTTTGGTTTGACGGTCCACTACCAGCATTTCCTGCACCGCTCATTTTCAATTCTGATAAATAAACAAATATTAAAAGTAAAAACGTTAGTTCAGAAATTTGATTTATAATATATCTAAATGTGAAAATGGTAAATTCACATGTTTTTATTATATTGTAAAAATATATGATGAACCTTATTAAATCAAAATAAAATCTATTTAAACAAAACAATAATATTTTATCATAGTCAAAGCATTTAAGCATAAATAAATAAGTGATTTGGTTTAATATTCTACAGATTATATATAATATAAAAGTAACTTATGTTTTCAAAATTTTAAAACCTAGTGTTTTAGTAATATTAAGAACAAATATATAATCATTAATCTTTGAGATTTGCGATTTTTCATGATAAGATATATATGTATAAAACTTTTAATATAAAAAAAACTAAAAGGATGCTATTTGTCTAAATTCTTTAATTTTTTGTAGTATTTATAAAAATTTCTTCTGAATAAAATTTTGTTTCAATGTTATCGCTCCTTTTTTTATTACAAGCTTTTCAGTACATTAATATAAAACTAAAATTCAGCTTGATAAAATATTATTGTAAAGAATGAACGAGTATCAACAAAAAAATGTGTACTTACTTGATTTTGGTTTTCTTGTGTGCTTTTTCTTCTTCGGACGTTTGGATCACTTTTTTTTCTTAAGGAACTAGTTTTTTCTGGGTAAATGAAAGGGTGATGATTTCTTGAATGTGCAATAAGATGCACCTCTTTATAGCAAATGTTAAAATACAGCCGTGAACTTTATTTATTGTTTTTTGATTTGTCTTTTTTCAATTATAGACATTGATTTGCTCAATTTTATCTACAAGGAAAATAAAAAACTGTATAGTTTTGTTTTTTATGTCAAATATTTAATTATTGAAAAAGAAATAAAATTCCTCAGATTTTGTCTTTTACTTAAATTCAGCTGAATTACACAAATGATAACTGGTAACTATAAATAGTATTCAGCTGTATTCTTCTACATTCTGCAAATCTTCAATACACCAGTTAGGCCCAAAATCCATAGTATTCAGATATTCCAATTCCTCCGCCATCCAAGTATTATCTCGTAGATTCCGGTTACGCTAATACAAGAGGATATTTAGCTCCATTTAGAGGTCATAGGTATCATTTGCCACATTTTCAAGTTGGCTCCCCACCGAGAGGTGAAGAAGAGTTGTTTAATCGGTGGCATTCTTCACTCCGCTCAGTGATTGAACGAACATTTGGAGTTTGGAAGAAAAAATGGAGGATTTTATCAGAGTTTCCCAGATATGGGGTCGAAATTCAAAACAATATTATCATAAGCACAGCTGGATTGCATAACTTCATTCGTCTTTCTCAAATTCAAGATTTTGATTTTGATGATGCGTATATTGACGCAATACCACGAGAACAGTTTAATAGTAATGGAGAAGGTGAAGAAGGCGAAGAAGGTGGAGAAGGCGAAGAAGTAATTTTTTTGCAAGAACAAGAGGAAACAACAGATGGTGTCTATATGCAAACAATACGAGAAGGAATAAAACAACAAATATGGGATGCTTTTCATTAATGAATTGTTAATATAAAAAATGTATGTTTTAAATTTAAATGAGTTAAATTTTGATGTTTAATAAATTATTGTGAATAAAAAATTCTTAAATTAAAATATTTTGATATAACTATTATTTAGCTATTTCATAAATATATATTTTCTTCATAATTGGGGAACTCTCGAATACCACTGAAAAATAAAATTATTTCACTATAATATATATTTAATTTGATATAAATTTTTAAATTATAACAATAAAATTCATGTAAGAAGAACAAAAAACAACATGTGGTACTATGTGAAAATTAAAAGATGATTTTTATTAATAAAATTGATAATATAAAAAAAAATCTTTCTAAATGATTATTTTTATTTTTGTTTTAACTTTTGATTAATAAATTATTATCGATCCAAATTCCTAAATTTTAAAAGTTTTAAATAATTTTTTTATTATTCTATTATTTAGATATTTCATAATAATAAGTTTTAAAATTCATTTGATGTTACAAAAATTATTTATAATCATGATTTCTAAATCATATATATTTTAAATTATTTAATTGATTTAATTATTATTTAGTTATTTTATCACTATATGTTTTATATTTATTTTTTTAACTTAATTTGGTGAATTTTTTGTTATTTGTTATACAAATAATTTGTTAAATATTTATTCTTCATTCAACAACATTCCGCATTCAGCAACATTCAGCTGTTACCATTCATATTACTAATTAATCAGCCAGATTCTGCAACAATTCCAATTTAATTCCGCTGGATTCCGCATTCAGCAACATTCAGCGGTTACCATTTAGACCCTTTTAGCCGCGTGGATCATATTCATAACAAAAAGAACCAGTCTCGTAACAAAAAGAACCAGTCTCGGTTGTGGTCTTAAAGTTAAGGTTGCAAAAGGACTTACTGAGACTTCATCAACATTGTGAGATTTATTAGATCCGAACGTACTTGGAAGAAATAATCAAACGAGGGTTTTAATTATATGAAACAAGAAATTAAGGTAGTTTAGGATGATTGTGTGTATAAACTAACAAGTTCATGGAATTAGTTTTCTATGTAGTTTATGCGAGAGTATCTTTACAAGGATGATTGTGTGTACAACTTACTACAAGTCTTCAAGAGAGAAGATCGCAAAATAAAGAAAGGTCTCATTATTACTAGTTCCATGCAATTTTAGGCTTGAACATACTCTTTTAGTGTTTCTAATCCACTTGAAGAGACCTACATTTCTTGATAATTAAAGAAAATAGAAAATAATCATTTTCCAACCAAATTCCAAAGAAAGGCAAAACATCTTTCTAATATTCGCCAAACAGTGAGAGATAATAATTTCTTTAAGGAATGGTATTGTATTCTTTTTCTTGTGATGTTAAATTTGGTAATGGTAAAATTAAAATAAACAAAATCTCCACAGCAAGATCTTCGAATCTTATTCGGCCACGTGGCTACTTCACTAAACAAATAAATCTGACGCTTATAGCTAATCGCGTGCACACCACACTCTCATCAAAGCAAATCAGACAGAACATAACCCAACAAAAAAACATTCACCTTCTCTTCCGCGACTCTCGCCGGAAGCAGATCGCTCCGCCGTGGGTTTCCCGGTGATTACTGTCTTTTGCTTGTAAGCTGACAGATTTATTCCCGGAAGCTATGGGCTCGCTTGTGCAGGTACGCAAATGCAGTTGAAGCTAATTCTCTTCTCTGAAAATTCGAAGTCGTTGAAGCTAATTCCTTTTTTTTTCAATTTGATGGGTTAATTCTTTAGGGTTTTACAAAGTCACTCGCTATGACTTTCCTCTCCGAGATTGGCGACAAAACCTTTTTCGCTGCTGCTGTAAGTGATCATCTACTTCATTTTCTTCATCTACTTAAAAGCAAGATTCAGACTTTCAAATTTCCAGTTGCTTGGATTAACGTTTCTATGAATTTTGGAGAATTTTGAGCCCAATCTCATGTTGAGGTGTGGTTATGTTCTTTGATCAAATCTGTTGACTTGTTTTCAACAGGAATACTTGTTTACTGGAAGTTGGTTTGCTTAAATTCGTAATTTAAGTGTCACATGAGCTTCTTGTAGCAACTTCCGTTGAATGTTTTCTTTTGATTGTATGGCGCATTACAGCAGCTTTCTTGTGTTGTAATGCTGATGCTTAATGTTGAATGTTATACTCTTATAACCAGATTTTGGCGATGCGTTATCCGAGGAGACTTGTATTGGCTGGTTGTTTATCAGCCTTGATTGTAAGTTTCTCTCTGTCTTACTTATAGAGAGACTACTTAATCCAATGAACTCTTCAAGATTTGAAAGCTCATGTCTTTGCTATTATACTTTAGGTCATGACTATTCTCTCTGCTACCATCGGTTGGGCTGCTCCCAATCTGGTTAGCAATTTTTGTTAAATCCTTGTGCTTGTAATACAGTTTTTACCATGTAATCTCTTGCTGATTGAAACCACTCTTTTGCAGATCTCTCGTAAATGGACACATCATATAACAACACTGTTGTTCTTTGGCTTCGGGCTATTGTCTTTGTGGGATGGTTTTAAACAAGGAGGGTAAGAAGATCTTGATGACATGAGGAATGATATTTGCTGGTAGTGTTGTGAAAACGTTTTCTTAATCAAAATCAGTTTTACATTATGCAGGGCTTCTGAAGAATTAGCAGAAGTTGAAGCAGAACTGGTTGGTTTTTTTTCTTCTTGTAATACACTTTTTCACACTTATAATGACAATGCTTTTTGACTTGACCTTTGTGCTTATATAATAGGACTCTGACTTGAAAGCTAAAAAAGACAGCAGCAGTAAGGTATGAAACTAAATCTCAAAGAGATTCACAACTAAACTAGTACCTGTGCTAAGGTCTTTGTAACTACTTCTGATGTTGTAGATTGAAGATGAGAAGAAAAAGCAGAGAAGACCTTTCCTCACTGCATTCTTCTCTCCCATTTTCCTCAAGGTAATATATAGTTTTTATGTTGAGAAGAAGTGTGACTGTTTTGTTGCAATTTGTTTCACATTTCTTTCGCTTGTACAGGCGTTTTCAATCAACTTCTTTGGTGAATGGGGTGATAAGAGTCAGGTAGCTTTCATTTGCTCAATCTGGTTCCACTTTAGCTAGTGAGTGCTTCACATACTTACTTTAACTAATAACCTCTGTTTCTAGCTTGCGACTATTGGTTTGGCTGCAGATGAAAATCCACTGGGTGTTGTCCTTGGAGGAATTTTGTAAGTCTTCACAGTATCAAAACTGATAAGATAGTCCTATTCCCAATTGCTGACTAAATCTCTTCTGCTTGACACAGGGCACAAACACTCTGCACCACAGCCGCTGTAATCGGTGGAAAGAGCTTAGCATCTCAAATATCCGAACGAATTGTAATTACCCCCTCTCTTCATTGCAGCAACGTTCTTACTGTTTGTTGAGCAAGATTTGTGATCAAACCGGTCTTATCTTGTTTTCAGGTGGCTCTCTCCGGTGGAATGCTTTTCGTTATCTTCGGCATCCAATCATTTCTCACTCCTGTTGAAGCTTCTTGATAACCTCTATAATGGTTTCTTGGATTTGAAAGCTCCAAAAACAGTCACACTCCCTTTACAATTGCTTAGCCATCTATATTCACATCTGTAACAAAACCATCCTCAATAAAGTTTTGCTATTTGCAAACTCAACAAAAGATCTACATATAGAGCAAAGGTTCATTGCAATATAGTAACAGTCTTAGTAACCAAACTTCTGATATTTTTTCTATACATCAAAAGAGGACAAATATTTTTCCAACTACATAACTTGAGAGAGACAGTCCTGAAGAAGATAATAAAAATCTATACTGGCTTTTTTTTTTTATAATAATTAGTGTTTTTTTCAGCAGCCACCACCGTCAGGCTCAACGGAGCTGAGAAGGCCGTTGCCACGAAGCTGCATACAGTGCTGCTCTGCGTCGGCCTGAGCACAGACGATCACGACCGCTAAACCGTTGACGTGTGCTTCTTGCATGATGTTAACAGCGTTGTCCACGGTCATTCCCGGTATAACCTTCATCAGCACCTGAACAACGTATTCCCTCTTGTTGAAGTTGTCGTTGTGTAGCATCACTCTGTATGGTGGAGCCATCTTCTTTGATTTCCTGAATAACAACACAGAGCAACGTATAAACACATTTTGAAACCTTAAGGATTTGATTTGTGTTGCATCTATATATATAGTTATATACCTTAGATCGAATTCGGATTCACGACCAGGAGTGGTTTTCTCTATGATTGGTTTGTCCAAGACACCACCTCCTTTACCCAATGCGGATGTAGAGAAGGTCATGAGGACGCCACGATTCAGACATGGTCCTTTTGAGACTGAGTGTTTGTCCCCTGCAGCAACACACATCATGTAAGAGAGTGAAACATATCCCATGAACACTAAATGGAAGGGTAATTAAAACATCATGTAAAAAATTATGAACTCCTTTAACACCTTGAAGCTATAGTCTAGAGCTTACAAGAATCCAACATTTAAAAGAAATAGCTGAAACCAAACCACAACTACAAATGCCACAAAGTAAAAAAAGGGTCTGAATCTTTTAGACAGAGCATATTCAAGAACATCAACATATCTTTTGTATATCTTGAGAACCTAATTTTTCAATGAAGCTTAGGATCAGAAGAAGCTCATAAACATCAAGAAGGCTCTCTTTTTTTTAGCACACAAATATTAATATCAATTCAGTTAATCTTTAATTAGCTAAAGAGCATAAGAGTTTCAGAGAAAGTAAATCCTCTTTCTGCAACTAAAAGCTAATTTTGCATCACAGGACAAAATATGCCCCAACAAAACATTGTCTATAAAATCAATTTTTTTTTTCCGCAAATCAACATCGGCCCAGAAAAAAACTGTAATTTCCATTTGGCATGAGCAATTATACACAGAAGTATACGGAATTTATTACTAATCAAGCTTCAAATTTTGGTTCAGTAGAAAATTGGTCCGATGATAATACGAAGGGATGTTGATAAGGAAGTAGAGATAGAGAGGAGGAGGAAGAAGGAACCTGATTTGGAATTGAAGAGAGAGCTTGGTGCGAGAGCTAATCTCCCACATATCGCAGTCTCCATGGCTCGCGAGTGGATGCTTCTCACTTCTCAGCGTCCCCAAAACACACAGAGAAATAATCAGGACCGAACAATTATAATCACCACCAATACGGAGAAATTTCAGAAATTGGTGGTTATGGAATTTCAACGTTGCTTGCGCCTCAAAACGTTGCGTTTCAGTATTGCTTAAATTGAATTACCAAAGCCTAAACCTTGTGCCTGACCATCCCGGTTTACCAGACCAATTAATTACTTCCGGTTTAGTGGCTCTGGGACTGATTCAAGCTGGCTTTGTTCATACTTCAAAAATGAGCCTATTTATGGCGTTTTAAAATTTATTTGGAAGAGCTTCAAGGTAACACTCTTTTTTTAGGATATTTTGTTGTATAATCAAATCTTTATTGCAAGTTTATTTGTGTATAGAGGCATAATTCTTCGGAGTTGAGAAAGTTGTTAGGATTATAGACATATAACTGAGATTTTTCCCATGGAATCTTGATTTGCATTGCAGTTTGATCATCATCTTCTGGTCTCATAGTGATTGAAAGTTGTAAGATTATATATTCAATATTTAAGAAAAAATAAATAAATGCCATGATGATCATTTTCATCTGAAGACTTTTTTATTAGTCCCCACCTTCATAAAAGATTGTTGCAACTCCAAAATTTAGAGTCATTGCTTGGATCCTCTTCTCAGGGTGTAATAACTAATAAGTGACTCTTTATAATCCGTATTGTGTCTTCATTTGCTGTTCGTTTATTGAGCTTATGTCTGTTATAAATGTTATCGCCTTCCTCGTCCATGATGAATCTATCATTTTGTTTCATGGATTCAGAGCATCGTCCAAAATAATGCAATCAAGCTTACAAGTCCATGCAACTAGGGTTTAATTCTAACAGACTAACAAAATAGGTTTATATATATGTTTGTAATGAAAATCTATCTTGTAACATTGGAGGTTGCCACTTTATGCAACACTCTTGTACATCCTTTTACGAGATTAATCAAGACATTTTATCATTGGTGACAATCGTTCTAGTAAGTTCATCTGAGCATGAACCAAATATAGTATTATGCAATTCGTGTTTTTATTACTCCAAATAACAGAAAGAAATAGTCTCTCTATTGGAGAGATGATGAGAGTCCTCATGCATACAAAATGAAGTGGAATTAGTCATAACAGTAGATAAGACGTTCATGTGGACTGTATGCATATTCATTCAATATCTTATGGCTAAGATAGTCTGTATCCAGCTTTTTTTTCATAGCAAATGTCACACAACTGTAACAAACATTGTCAAAGTCTCCACATCCAGTGCACACGTATCTAAAATTCACTGTACAATGATACAATCCTAATCATGTTAGTTACCACTAATAATTCTTTCTTTTTCTTTTTGGAATTATACAATGTGGTGTTGTGTGAATATTCGTGGGATCAGATTCGGTTCTCATTCGCATCTTGGCTGGAACCAGTTGATGTCACTATTCTCTAGGGCTGGAATACTTATTATTACCATTAAGTATTACAACAGTTTTTTTTTTTTTTGTATAATTATAGGACTAGCATTTAATTTGAAAGTATCTTTTTATTGGACTATCTTGCCTTCATTATCAAACACATAAAATTATAGAGAATCAAATGATTTGTGCGTTGTGCGTGTCATCTTTTCACGGAGAGCCTTCCTTGGATTCAAAAACCAAAGATTTGCTTCATCTAGCTTCATGGTGATAAAAAGTCGATTAATAAATTGTTGGAGATCTTGCTTCATCATCAAACAAATCGAAGACTAATACTAATAGGTAGAGTATACATGTAGCATATCAGGATACATATAATTTTTGTTTTCCTTTTAATATGCAAACAATGACTACTATTATGTGCTAATAATACTAGATGGAAGTATGGAACCAAAGCCAAGCTAAGATCAAATTGAATATTATGTCCCACACCTCAAAAGTTAGGACCAAACATGTGTTTTGCTTGCTATGTCCATTAAACTGAGACAACAAAGTTTTGCTTGCATGTTCTTTCTCAAAACAGATTGATGTTGAGAAATTAAAGCTTTGGCCTGTAATGGTTTCATAATTGTCATTAAGAGCATAATCTCGCTGATTCTTAATTGTCATTGGTTTTGTACAATTAGTCAAATAATCTTTATCTTTGCTTCACATCTAAAAAAGATAACAACAACTGAAAACCAAAGATAATAATGACAAAAGCGAAATCTGGTTGCATCAAAATTGAATACCGGAAGAAAGAGAGGATTTTGTCACGTGGGCACGCGCTTAGAAGCGCGTGAAACATTGGGTAATGGAATTGGCTCTTGGAGAGAATCAAAGGTCGGAGATAATAAAAATATATAAAAAATGTCTAATCGATAATAATCATACGCGGCGTGGGCAAATGTGAATCTCACGTTTCCTTTTAAGATTCTTCTTTTTCAATTTTTCTCTTTTGTTTCCCCTCGTGATTCCATTTTTTCTTCCCCAACTCTCCAAAGAATATTCCTTCACCAAAATTAGCTCCATTCTCCAATTTTCCAACTACAATATCTCAACAAAATTTGTCACCAATTAACTAAAGAATCTTGGTTTCTTTAAACAATTCAAATCTCTTTAAAGATATGTTTTATTTTAGTAACTAATCACATTAAAAAACGCTAGATTTGTTTTTGTAAATGTTTAAAAAACTTTAAGTTGGAGTGTGAATCTTTTAACTTTGGGAGGGGACAATACAGTAATGTAGTATTTGTTGAGTCTTCGTTCTTATCTGAAAATCTGAAAATAGTGACGTCATTTTTTCCAGCAAAATCCAGATGCTACCAAAAACCGAATCTGATCCCTCGAATATTCATACACACAAACACCAAATTCCTTTGTGAATTTACATTTTTACCCTTCTCTCTCGTTTTTTTAACTCTCAAAAGATTCGGTTTTTAGGTACGCGACGCCCCGACCTCGATCCTCTTCATTTCATCTTCTTCTCTTCTGATAAAACTATCTCTCTCTAGCTTCAAAACTCTCTCTCTCTCTTTGTTAATATTCCTTTCTCAGATTCCATTAAGATCCAATATTCTTTCTCCATTTGAAATTTAACTCCTTTCTTCTTCACCCACTTCTCTATAGATCTATCCATTTTTAGCTTCTTTATCTTGAAAAAACAAATGATGATTCAAAACGTTGAGGTTGATTACGCAAAGAAAATGCAAAGATGTCACGAATACGTTGAAGCTCTCGAAGAAGAACAAAAGAAAATCCAAGTCTTTCAACGTGAACTTCCTTTATGCTTAGAGCTCGTCACACAAGGTAATTAAATTCAAAAAATAAAAATCCTAACTTTACACTCTCTTCTCGTTAAATTTAAATAAAAATCCAAACTTTACACACTCTTTTCTTCAAATCACTTCATTTTCAAATGGATTTTGTTCTGTTTTTGTGTTTCTGTAGCGATCGAGGCGTGTCGGAAGGAGTTATCAGGAACGTCGACGACGTCGGAGCAAGTTCACGGCGGACAATCGGACTGTTCGGAGCAGACGACGAGTGCTTGCGGCGGTCCCGTCTTTGAAGAGTTTATTCCGACTAAGAAGAGCGAGGAGGAAGACGGCGAACATGATGAGTCGTCTCCTGATGAAACTGGGATTGATGATAATAGCAACGTTGATAAGAAGAAATCGGATTGGCTTAGATCTGTTCAGTTATGGAATGATCCGTCGGAGCCGGATCTAAACCCGAAAGAGGTTTCGAAACCCGAACGTGTAGTGGTAGCAGCAGTAGCTAAGAAGGCGAAAGTGGTTGAGGTGAAACCGAACAACAACTGCGGCGCGTTTCAGCCGTTTCAAAAGGAGAAAAAACGCGTTTTTACGGAGGAGACTGATGTACAGCCGGCGGTGAAAGCGGCTAGATTGACGCCGGTGCCGGCGCCGGCGACGACGACTAGTTCCACGACGGAAACCGGCGGTGGTGAACGTGATTCGGATAAAGCGGGAGAGGAACAGATACAGCTGCAGAACCAATCGCAAACGCATAGGAAACAGAGACGGTGCTGGTCGCCGGAGTTACACCGGCGGTTTCTTCACGCGCTTCAACAGCTCGGAGGATCTCATGGTAAGAGATTAATTTCATTACCGGTTATCTAATTTCTGATTGGTTCATTAGTAATTCGTAATTAGATTGATTGAATTAGTAAGTAATGATTTTTATTTATTTATTTTTGGCTCAATTTTGCAGTTGCTACACCGAAACAGATCAGAGATCATATGAAAGTTGATGGATTAACAAATGACGAAGTTAAAAGCCATTTACAGGTTAATAATCTTAAATATTTGGTTAAATCTGATGTAATTTTAAGGGTTTTTTAGCATTTGATTGGTGATTAATTAATATTTGGAAACTACTATTTGTGGAATTTTCAGAAATATAGACTTCACACAAGAAGGCCAGCGACGTCGGTGACGGCGCAAAGTAACGGAAACTCGCAACAACCGCAATTCGTGGTGGTCGGAGGGATATGGGTGCCGTCGCCGCAAGATTTTACTCCACCGGCAGATGTAGCCAAGAACGGTGGTGTTGTATACGCTCCGGTGGCAACGCAACCACCACCACTTCCACTACCACCGCAATCTCCTAAGCGTTCGGTGGAGAGAAGTAGTGGCCGTTGCAACTCGCCGGCGGCATCTTCCTCTACGAATACAACCACAACTTCTTCACCTGTGGCATAGTAGGAGTGAGTCCATATATTGTGATTTGATTTTGTATGGTTTTAATGCAAGTGAATGTAAAAATTTTGTCACCAAGAATGTTCGTTCGTTCATAGGTTTGAAATTTTTGAATAAAAATATACACGAGATAAGTCATAAGTAAAGTGTTATTTTTTTCTATCTTTGGATATTTTTTACTTGTTTTCTGTTCGGTGTCAAGTTTTGACATATTTTCTTGATGTATTTATCAAATTATTGTATACTTTTACGTTCAAAATGATAGGTTAAGTTTTACCCTATATTATCACTGCAAGTGCACAGTAAATCAATGTAGTATAAAGGGTTTATCGAATCCAAACGTCTATCAGTTGCACAACGAATTTCCAGATTCAAATCAGGCTAAGTAAGATATGAGTAATGTAAAAGCAAATAAAAGAAAACAAAGTAGCAGGTGATTGATTAACGAGGTTAAATTCAATGAGACAAAGGTTAGGCCTTGGGAAATTCGCAGGTTGAATCCGAATTGCAGAGTAAACTATCAGGATATTAATGAAGAACCATTCTAGAACTCAAATCACAATTGTAAAACCAATCAACTTTCGTTGCAGAGATTATCTATGTCTAAACTTAGAATCCCAAATTTCTTTGCAAATTCAACAATTCAAACAAGCATTAATGATCAGGTTTGATAAGTTCACAAAATCTCTAAACCAAATTCCTTTGCAGATAGATATTTTGCTCATCTAAGATAGTTCAGGAAATCAATAACACTTTCGTGTCTACCAATTAACCTAAGATCAGATTCTAGGTCGCGAAGCTAGAATAAGCAATAAACACAATCCAGATGAAGAACTCTAATGATTATCCTAAGCAATTGCAATTCTTCTTCAACCTTTGAAAAACCCTAAACCTAACAAGGAATCTACTCAGACATGGTGATTGAGACAAACATCATGAATAAATAGATTGCATAAAAGAAATAAGAATAGAGATAAAGGAGTTCAAAATCTTCTCTGAAGGAGTTTGATCTATCTCTCCAAAGCTCTGCTACAAATCTCTCTCTAAGTCTCAATAGAATAAAAGTATGAAAAATAGCCTAACAATGGCTTTAAAAACCTAAAAACACGAATTGGGCCTTCTTGTAAATAAGTGGAACTTCTGGGAAAAGTGCAGATCTTCAAAAGTCTTTAAAATAGAACTCTGCGTTTCTGGGAAAAGGGTGTCGACCGACACAGATGGGTGGTGTCGGTCAACACTCTGAAACGTCTTTTGTCTTGTTTTCCAGCAGCTTCCCCAAATATGCTCCAAATAGCTCCATTATCTCCAATTGTGCTCCAAAACATGCTTAGACCTGTATAGACTCAAAAAGACTCCAAAAATACCAAAAAGACTCTATATACAAGACTTATATCATGGCAAAAACCCATAAAAACATGATATATCACAAATTTGGTTAAATACAAAGTTTATGATTGAGGATCTAAGATGAACGAGAATCACGTGCGTGATGTGATGTACCTATGTATCTTATTTGGTGTGACAAATTAGATGTGTTTGATTTATGGTAGATTTATGGTAACGCTTGTTTAAAGAAGGGCACGTTAAACGTGTCAGGCCATGAATCAATTATCAATTGACCAAACCAATCATTTACCATTTTCAGAGAATACCAAATAGTAGTAGTCTTATCTTTTGCATGGGATTTTATAAAGTCTTCAATTCTTCATTAAACTATAGCCTAACGTGGCCGCTTCGGAATCCTTTGCTAATTGTAACCATAACCAAAACAATATTATCTTTTTTTGGCTAAATAAATTAGTATTATCTGAAACATTATTATATCATTTTGTCATACAATTATGATAATCTAAAATATTGAACTCAGTTTTTTTTTTGGTCAGATACAGAAATTAACCAGAGACAAAAACTATATCCACTTTAATTCGGTTATTAGATTTTTGGAACGAAGAAATTAGAAACCCCCAACACATTAAATCATAAAAAAATAACAACTTGAACTAAACATTTTATTATACCCTACAAATCAAGAGAACATGACCCTGAGAGTCTTAAGACCAAACTTAACAACTAATAGGTGGGTTTACTGGTTTCCAGGTAGCTGTCTTTTATGCAAGTTAAGTATATTAAAAAGGTTTTATGTTTCTATAAACAAAGACTAATTAGTACTAATCAGTGTTTGATCCTCTTTTTTTAACGTGATGGCTAAGCGCGTTTAGACTACAGAAGCAAGTGGAGTTTGGTCTTTAAAAATATATATCTTTCCAAACAAACACTTCCCTGTTAATCTTTTGTTATGTATCTTTTTGGTGGATCAAGAAACTCTCAACGATGGAGTCTCAAATGGACCACAAACATCAACCACCGCAACATCAAGTGTTCATAAATTTCCGTGGAGATCAACTGCGCAATAACTTCATCAGCCATTTGGTGAAGGCCTTGGAAGGGTGTGGAATCAATTTCTTTATCGACACATTTGCGGAAAAAGGTGAAGACATCAAAAATCTTTTCAAGAGAATTGAGGAATCAAGAGTCGCGTTGGCCATATTCTCGACCAGGTATACAGAATCAACATGGTGCTTGGACGAGCTTGTCAAGATCAACCAGCGCGTTGACTTAGGCATGATCAAGGTGCCAAACTTGTACTTCAAGATTTTATATGTTTTGTTTGCATTTATATATCGATCAAAAAATATAATAATATATATTTTGATTCTCTCTTTATGAGAAGGTACTTCCTATCTTCTACAAGGTGCCTACAAAAAGTGTGAAACAACTTGTGGGAGACTTCGGTAACAATTTCAGGGATCGAGAGCGGGAACATAAGAATGAGCAACCCAAAATCGATATATGGAAAGAGGCGTTGGAGCGTGTCAGTGGGAAGCATGGCATCGTAATAGATGAGCAAAGGTACTACATTTCAAACTCATATATCTTCGTTTGTGTTTGCGTTTACTTGCTTAAGATTAATTATGTTCACATATTAAAAATCTACAATTATAGAGATTGCAAATGAAAACTCAAAATGAATCTTTTTTTCCAGGGTGCATACAATTTTGTAAAAGACTTATGAAAAAAATAAAAGAGGTTGTAGGTTTACTTAAATATAAACACACTAATTTAAATGTAAACTCAAAAACGCAAATATGAAGAGAACCATCAAAGCCATAATATGATGTATATCCTAGTGTTTATTGACTGAATCTCTAATTCATTTTTATTGTTTCATAGTTTTTAGGTGGATCTAAAATCTATCATGTAATGTACTTTTTCTTGGTGCCTAGTACTAAAGTTTGACATAATTTCATATCTAGAGACTAGAGAGTTGTAAGATTTGTTCAGTGTAGCCCTTGATGACCAAATTACTAATTAACATATGCTTTCTTTTCCAATTTGATATCGTAATTAAACCGAAGTTTAGCTTAAATCAATATGAAATGTTTCACCAACCGTTTTTTTTTTTGTAAACTAGTAATGCTAATTACAGTGACTGTTTGTTTTCTCTCACTATATTTTGACAGTTCTGAAAGCAATTCCATAGACTTAATCATTAAAGAAGTCTTGAGAATGCTAGCAAGCATTCCATTGCCTACGAATCCTGAGAAAATTCATCAGCTTCTTGAAAATGGAAAAGCTTCTTCACATGTTACACTCACTGAGCCTACACATACTTCAAATCCTCAGAAAGTCCATCAGCTTGCTGAAAATGGAAATACTTCTTCACAAGTAACACTCATTACTGAGCATGCTAAGGCTCAGGAGGTAGAAGTCATCCCAGCACAACGTAAAAAGATCCCACCACTGTCTTATTACGGTTACGGGCCTAGGCCTACCGAGTTACCGTCGTGGGGCAAATCGAGTAATACAACAACCAAAAACAAAAGGAAAATTTGAATGGGAACTCGGGACAGGGGATTCAGACTCAGTCATGGAACAAGCGAGGACCGGCATTATGCCCACCCCTACTTTTGGTTAATTTTATTTTGTTGTTCGTCTCTTTATGGAAACCATAATTCACGTCACTTTGAGTCTTTCTTACAAAACATTTCCCTCAAAACTTTCTAAATCACACAGGAGAAAAGTATCTAACACTCTTGCTTTTCACACACGTCACTCTTGATGTGCTATGCTCAAGCCCAGCTCTTGATGGATTCGTCAACCCTTAACGTATCTATCATTAGCGGTACTGGTAGTTTTGGGTATATTTACATTTACATGTTCTCCATGCAGACTACATTAATCTTTTAGTTATATGATATCATCAAAACAAGGTCAAAACTTATGCTATGAGTCTAGAGAGGAGGATTGGACAACTTGAGGCCAGAGTTGCCAAAGTCAAAGTCAAAGTCAAACTGAGACTTATATTTCCTATTTAAAAAGAGCTGCATAATTCATAATCATAAGAACCTATCACTTCCACACAAACACAAAAGAAGAAAGTGTCAGGATGATTTCAAGCCATTCTTATTGCTTTTCTGGTATTTCTTCTTCTTGGTTTCTTCGTCTTGCCTTGTATCACCTTCAGATGAGCAGTCTTCTTCTTCTTCTTCTTCGGATCCTGTGGGAGAGAAAGACTTGCGCAGAACCAGAGTTTCTCCTCTTTTGATTAGTTTGAAAGTGAAGAAATCTCCAGCTTTTACTCTATTGGCATGACAGAAACTTCTCCACCCTCCTCTGATATACATAGTTCCACATGATATCTTTCGTTTCAAACTTAACGTCCAAGATGTACCTTCTTCGTTCATCAGAACAATCTCTCCACATCATGTGAGTATACCATTTGCTCTCGCAAATCTCATAGGAAGATTCTGGAAATTCATTACAATACAAAACATGATTTTGATCACTATAGAGTTTTTTTTTTTTTTTTTTTAATTGTTCAAAACGAAAGAGTTAAAGAGTAGATTACCATTGAGTCATAACGTAGTGTCGCAGGGGAGACATAAGCCAGAAAACAAGAGGGATCTAGTGAAGAAGACTCTGTTTCTTTTCTTGGATTCTTCTTCACTTTCTTCTTTCTCTGGAAAAGAATAAATTCAATCCCAGTGGCAATAGTCAAACACTCAAACTCATTCTCTCTACTTACTGATCCATATTGCATCATCAACTAGAAATTAATATTTGTTACTTAGCACAGTTCTTAAATGTCTTAGAGTCAAGAGACAGAAAACAACTAACCTCACCGAGATTGCCCTCTTCATCAGTTTCAGATTCTGTGGAAAGAGTTTCCACTTCATCACCTTCTGAGCTCTCTTGCTTCACCTTAGAGCAGAACTTAAGGACACACCTTGTTTCTCCTTCCCAAATCAGCTTCAACATAACCGATTCACCTGTCTTCACATAATTAGCTTTGAAGAAGTCTTTCCAACCACTTACCATTCTTATTCTATCACCTCTCTTCTCACACCGGAGATTTGTAGACCACTTCACACCGTGTTTATCCAGCAGACTCATTTTAGTTTCCTCACTGATGTCATGCATCCTCGTGAAGCGTGCCGGAAGAAACTGCAACAAAGATATCAGATAAAGGATTCAAGATTCGAACAGAATGTAAAAAGACAAATGGCTTGGAGCGATGGAAAACAAACCAGTGTACTATTTTTGAGACTGGAAGGGGTAAGAGTTAATGTCACAAATCGGTTTTGTGATGGTGACGATGAAGCTCTCCATGTCAATCTACGCTTCTTGAAGCGTTTCTCATCGTGCTTGTTCTCTTCATCGCTGTCTGATTCTGTAGAAAGAGTCTCTTCTTTGGTGGACAAACGTAGAACCAGAGATGGTCCTCCTTGGATCAGTTTGAAAGTGAAGGAATCTCCAGCACTAAGTCCATTGGCAAGAAAGAAACTTCTCCACCCGCCTCTGATATAAGTAGCTTGACATGAGTTCTTTTGTTTCAAGGCTAACGTCCATGATCTTCCCTTTTCATTCATCACAACAATCTCTCCACATCTTGTGTCTAGACCATTTGCTCTCACAAAACTCCTTGGAAGATTCTGAAAAATTCATTACAGCATAACATGACTTTGATATAACTCAGACCTTAGTATAAGATTTTTTTCTTCTGTTCAAAGTTAAGAGTAGCATACCAGTGTATCATGTCGGAGGCTCGAAGGTGTGACATTAGCCACAAAACAAGAGGGATCTAGTAGACAAGACTTTGCTTCTTTTCTTGGATTCTTCTTCACTTTCTTCTTCTTTGGAATCTTCCCTGAAAAAAAAGAAAAGAAGGAATCTCACTGGAAAATAGTCATACTGATTCTGTCTACTTAAGTTAAAGAGAGACAGAACACAGCTCACCAAGTTTGTTCTTGTCATCTAAACACGACTCATATTGAATCTCACAGCAACTGGGTCCCAAGAGTGTCACGTGGAAGGCCATGTCTTTCTCTTGTCTGAAAATGAGAATGTCACCGACACGAAGATCGTGGGCAAGAGCGAACTCTTTCCAACCATCAGTGAGCTTCTGGCCACCGTCTTCTACCTTCACTCCCCATGTTGTCTTCGATGCGTCTGATCTCAGATTCGCCATCTTCTCTTCATTTCTTCCTTGTATGCATTTCAAGAAGAAGGCTGTAGGAATCGTCTAAAAGAACATGCATGAACAAAGAAAGAGCCATCTTTCTCAGTGAGATTCTTAGAGAGACAAGAACAAACAGAGAAGAAGTAGACAGAAAGAGAGAGATAGAGATAGAGAGTACCAAGTGGTTGAGGAAGCCGGGAAGCAGAGGCTTGAAGAAATGTTTATTCACCATTCTCAAAATCTTTATAAATCCCTAAATCTTCAGGATGAGTTCTCTTGAAATCAGCTCGTTGAGTCTACACTGCAATTTCCTGGGGAGAAGAGTGTGATAAAACCACCAGTTTGAAGACGTTTCACTGTCCTTGGAGCTAGAGAGGACTTAAAAGTTAAAACCATTTTATATTAAATATGGTATTTATTGTGGCGCTTTTGTTATCTGTGTAACAATTATTAAAGCCTTGGTTTCTACACTTTAACTTGCTTTCTTATTTCTAGTTAACATTTTTTTTTGTAATCATGAGTCTCCCGAGAACTGAACTTAAGTAGAGGAGTTGCTTTGTCTTGTTCAATAATGAATTCTAATGTAAAAATCTCTCCTAACTTCACGCCATTAGCTTCACAAAACTCATCCCAACCATCTCTCGACAATAGATATGCAGACAATTCCATTTTGTTTTCACCCAAAATAGTCATCTTCCCAAAGTTTGTTGATGCCATTCTCCCTCATAAATCGATTTGGAAGATGCTGCAGCACATTTCGTTACCAATTAGAATTCATGACACAAACAGATTCAAACGCTCGTTTGTGTTGCGTTTACTTGCTTAAGATTGAATGACTGATTATATTGACATTTTAAAAATATCCAATTTTTTGTTTTGAATTTGTTGATTGTAGATTGCAAAATGAAAACTCAAAATGAATGTTTTTTTTTCCAGCTTGCATTTATAATATTTAAAAGAGTTTTTAAAAAAGAAAAAAAAAAAGGTTGTAGTTTTCTACTTAAATGTAAACACACTAATTTACATGTAAACTCAGAAAAACACAAGTATGAATAGAACGATCAAAGCCATAATATGATGTATATTCTAGTGTTTATTGACTGAATCTCTACATTCCTTTTTATTCTTTCATAAATTTTAGGTGGATCTAAAATCTATCATGTAAATTACTCTTTCTTGGTGTTTAATACTAAAATTTGACATATTTAATATACAGAGACTAGAGAGTTGTAACATTTGTTCATTGTAGCCATTGATGACCATTTTAGTACTTAACATATGTTTTATTTTCGAACTTGATATCGTAGTTAAACCCAAATTTAGATTATCTGTAATTAACACACTATGTGCTTTGTAAACTAATGACTGTTTTCTATCATTATATTTTGACAGTTCTGAAAGCAGTTCTATCGAACTAATAGTTGAAGAAGTCTTTAGGATGCTAGCAAGCATTCCATTTACGTACTGAGCATGCTAAGCCAACACATACTTCGAATCCTCAAGAAATTCATCAACTTCCTGGAAATGGAAAAACATCTTCTCATGTTACATTCACTAGTGAGCATGATAAGGATCAAGAGGTAAAAGTCATCCCAACACAACCTAAAACCATCCTACTACTGTCCGTCTGTCCCATTGCGGTTATGGGCCTAAGCCATTACCTTTCAACACTACCATTAAATCTCACAAGAAGGGTCCAGGAAACTATGCACAAATCACCAAAAGTAGGTAGTACACTTAACCACGCAAAAGGATCAAGAAGTGTCGAGGAAACTATGGCCAAATCACCAAGACTAGGCCATGAGACGACAATTATAGCTAGATCGTCCGAACCAAAAACTATCTATAAGAAAGTTTTATCTTTTTTTTTGGTCGTTAGTGCTTCTAGAGTTCTAGGGAAAAAAAAGATTTGCGGGAACCATTTTCCTATTTTCATTTCATTATAGTGGCTTTTACATATAACTAAAGATTAAGCAAGATTGATCTCTTGAGGCATAATTCCACACACACACACACAAAATTATAAAAGAAAACAATTTTTTTTTTTACTAAATTGTAACAAATGACATAAAAATATAATTGTTGTGGGCTGTTCATGGGCTCATAATCGAGTTCCATTTTCTAAAAGCCTAAAACTTTTAAATCCCATGTCACTTTTATAGAAGAAAAACGTGTTTTTCCTCCAAAATATTTAGAAAACTGAAATCCCTAAATTGTAATTGCAATTCGAAGGAAAAAGATCAACAATGGCGTCGTCAAGCGATCCATCAAAATCAGTGATGGAGAGGAAGAAGAAAGGAGCTCCGATCAAATTCTTGGTGCCTCTGATATACGCGCCTGTTCTTCCTCTGATTCGGTTGTCTCTGAGGCATCAGCCAGTTATCAGAGACCGTCTCTTCGGTCTTGTCCTCGTCGGTGCTTTTGCTCATGGCCTCTATCTCGTGTATCCTCTTTTATTTCATAGCTTCTGCATTTACTTATCTTGCTGCTTACTTTCTTTAATGGGTTTCTAGTGTAATTCTCTGTGATTGTTAATTTGAACCTCTTAGCTTCGAAATTAGTCAACTTTTTTATAGTTTGCATGTCTTTTGTCTGGTTTCATCATCACTCAAGTTTAGAGTGTTTGGTAAGGAAAATGCAAGTTAGGGTTTAAGGATTAAGTTGATTCATTATCATTTGCAGTGATTAGTGGTGTTAGTTTGTGATAAATTTGATATAGAAATGAAGCTATCAACCATCTATGCCAAAATTTGGAATTGAAGAAAGCTAGCGTATATGGTTGATTTAGGGATTTTGATTTCAAATAAGTAATAGCTCTATGCTCAATCCCTTTGCAGTGATCATGGACATATGGAGTAAAATGTTACAGTTTGGTATGTTCTTGATGGGAGTGAGCAAAATATTTAATCTTGCAGTGATTTTTAAAAGTGGACATAAGTGCTTAAGACTTAGGTGTTGAGAATAGTTGGGGATATTGCTGTGTTTTTTTCCTGATGGTTTAGCTTTAGCTCTAATGTTGATAAATCTCTTTTTGGGTTTGATTGTTCCTTAAAGAGAAATTACAGAACGGACATATATGATGCAGAGAGCAAATGAAAAGCTTGGGAGTTGCAGCCATTCATCAAGAGCTCAATATTTGTGACATGTCTTTTCAGATAAAATAAGTATTGCTTTTGGGGTTTCACAACTCTTGACATAGATTTTGTTTCCGGCTTTACTTGTACTCTTGTGAACTTGAATCGGATTTGTCTTGCTTTAGTTCCCTGAGGAAATGTGTATCAGCTTTTACATTTTCAATCCAATTTTTGAATGTGAGATATCCGGTTTGACATAAAATGAATCAGCATCAACACATGTTTGTTTATGATTATGAATGTATTTTAAATAATAAAAAGAGAGTCTATATAGCAACAGATTCTGGAAATAGTTTATATAAGTGGAGACAGCAGAGAGGTGGCAAATGGCAAATGTTTCTGAATACACAACAACAACACCACCTCCTGTCCAATGATGACAGATTAACAAGTGCGTTTTTATTGTAAACTATAATTGTTTTTTGTTTTCCTTCAAGAATCCTCACTTAGCTCTCACACCACTGAAAATATGTTTTTTTTCTTTCTTTCTCGAATGGTCTTTTGTGTTAAGTATAATTGGGATTTCGGGGGACCATCTTTTACTTTTAGGACTTTTTCATAAGTTGGTAATGATCGAGAAACGTCACGTGTGGGATACGAATGTGTTTGTAAAAACAAACAAAAAAACGATAAAGAAACAAAAATGTAGTTGGAATGTTTTGGGATCACGAGTTAGTGGATGTTCTTTTGGATTTTTGGATTTAAGGTTTGATGGCGACACGTATTTTCTCTAGTTTTTTACCATTTACCACTAAAGTGTCTTTCCCTTTCAGTTTTAAAACTTTTCCTCGTTCATAATTTTTCTTGTGAAGTTTTGCATTTTTAAGTTTTAACAGATCTTCCGGATCAAAATGTGACAACTATGTATGTAAATAGCATAATGATTAGTGGTGGTGAATGATAATATTTATCGAACTTTTAGGTTTTTGAAATATGATAACATATAATACAAACTTTTAACCCGAAGGCAATTTCTTTGGATACAATATAAAAAGATGAAACTGAAGTCTGATATATGTATAATGTGATTTCATTTATAATACGGCAAGGCTTCTATTCAGATTCCATTATTTGTATAGGTTAACCAAGTCCATATGTTTTATATTATCTAACGTAACATACTCTCCAACCTGAAAATATTCCACATTTTTCTACCAAAACTATTAAAACCATTTACACCTTAATTGACCAATCAATTTCTCCAAATTGATTTTCTTTTTTTCAAAGTTTCTCCAGATTGAATTTCAGAGTTCGTTTTTGTACCAATAGCGTCAAGAACCTGGTGATGACATATGTGCACTCATCACAATCTGTTATAATTTACAAATGCACACATCCTTTGATATTATACATTTATACAATATACGTAGTGTTTTTTTGTTGTTGTTAACGGGTTTTCAACAATATACATGGTTTGCAATTATACACTACGTTTATAGTTTGCAATTACGTAATATATTACGTATTTTTTTAAACTGTATATCTGTAAGTCTGCAGAAGTCATGTGCTAGAAATGAAGAGCTACTAATATATTATACGTAAGTTTGTCCCTTTTAAATAGAAAAACTTCAATATAAATATGCAACTGAAAATTTAAAATTAATTTATCAATCGGTCAAGTCAAACTACAACTTGAGATGCATATTCAAAAGTCAACGTGAGATTTGTAACATAAATTATTAAATACTGTAATACTAGAACCACATTTTGATAAACACAATTAAGTAACGTGTGATTAAAAAAATAAACAGTATAATAGACAATCTAATGAAGAATCATTTTAGCTATTTTCGTGCTACCGTTAATTGATTTATAATTTATGCTTAAATGGTTTACTTGATGCTAAGTTAATGGAAACAATATTTTGTTGGATTTTTTCTTATCGACATCGAACTGTCTATGACAAAAACGCGTTTGGTTATATAATAAAAAAAAATTACTTATGGTAAATTTCGGTAAGTAAAATGGTGAATTTTGATATATCATTCGGTTACGGAAAGAAATTTATGTCTACCCTTAAAAAAAGAAAACAATTAAAACTTCAATTTCTTTGACCGTTGATTTTGACGTAGCATTGAAGCACATTCTCAGAGAAATTCGTTCAGAAATTATTTCTTGCTTTGAAGCCCGGAAGAAAAGTGGAAAAGAATTTTTTTTTCATTGTTACAGAATTCAAAAATCATAGTTTTGAATCAAGTTCACAAGAGATAAAAGAAGGAGGGAAAGAAGAAGAAGAAGACAAAGTTGGCTCTTTAATAGTACCAAAAAAAAAAGTTGGCTCTTTTAATATACTCTGTAACAGAGATTTTCCAGTTATGGCATTTTCCATCAAATCAGGGTAATCTCAGTGATCTGGTTTTGCGCGTGAGTGATCTGGAATTTAGTAACTGGAAAAGATCTGGGATTTATGATTTGATCCATCGTCGTCTTCGTCTCTCTCTCTCTCTATCTCTCTGCTTTGTCCTGAAGCTTTGAGTTTTGAGTGATTTTAGGGTTTAGTGACAGAATTAGCTGTGTTGTGATCTCGAAAGTTGCTACCTTTTCACGTTTAGTGAGTTTTTGGTTGGTAAAGTTTGGTGCTTTCAGATCACTGTCATACTCAAAGTCTGGGAATTTTTAGGTTTCTGATTCCTAATTTTGCAAAGTGATCGATCGTCTCTGCTCGTTTCTTGAGGGATTCCAAAGTTTTTCATGAGAAATTGAGGTTTTTTTTGGTCGCCGGAATTTTTTAGATGGCAACACCGCCGGCACAGCCTCCGATCTCAAATTCTCCTCCGCCTCCACCACTGGCTTCATCGCCTCCACCACTGGCTTCATCGCCTCCACCGGTGGCTTCATCGCCTCCACCGGTGGCTTCATCGCCTCCACCGGTGGCTTCATCGCCTCCACCGGTGGCTTCCTCGCCACTTAACAATTCTCCTCCGAGTAAGATTGTCACCACTACACCACCGACTCAGTCCCTTCCTCCGACCAGATCACCACAAGTGACATCGATGGTCCCTTCATCACCACCGCCACCGAACAGAGCTCCTCCTCCGGTTACAACCTCACCACCACCACCATCAAATGGAGCTCCTCCTCCTCCTCAGAGCTCTCCTCCACCACCACCATCAGTGATCCCTTCACCTCCTCCGCCGTTAATTTCACCAGCATCGGCACGGCCTTCACCACCACCACGTAATCCGCCTCCACCACCTGCATCAGTCCCTCCATTGCCTTCTTCTCCACCTCCTTCACCTTCACCTCCTCCTTCAGGACTCGGGGGTTCCAATCAATCTCCTCCTCCTCCTCCACCGCCTTCAGAGCCTCCCGCTTCTACACCGCCTACAGGTAGTTCCAATCAGTCTCCTCCTCCTCCGTCACTTTCAGTGCCTCCCTCTTCTACACCACCGCCTTCAGGTAGCTCCAATCAATCTGCTCCTCCTTCGTCACCGCCTTCAGAGCCTCCCCCTTCTACACCGCCTATAGGACGTCCTACTCAGTCTCCTCCTCCTCAAACTCTTGAACCAGGCTCTAACAACCCTACTCCTAGTGCTCCTGATATTTCAAATCCTACTGGTAACAATAGCAGCATTGGAACCGGAGCTGTTATCGGAATCACCGTCGCAGTAGCGCTTGTCGTCTTCACTCTCATTGGACTCCTGGTCTGGTGCGTGAGAAGACGACACAAACGGCTTTCAGCTGTGAGTGGTGGCGGCTCTGTTACGCCATCACCAATGAGCACAAGATCAGGTATGGTTTTTAGTCAAGATCCAAGAAACTGTTTCATCAAGAATGTTAGACCTTGGCTATGTAAAACGGGTTTCTTGCTTCTTAATTTCTTGATTCTTGATTTCTTGTTTCTTATGTGTGTTTGTGTGCTGTTTCTTGGTTTCTTGATTCTTGATTCTTGATTTGTTCCTTGTGTGTGTGTGTGTGTGTGCTGTTTCTTGAGTTCTTGATTCCTTGATTTCTTGATTTCTTGTTCCTTGTGTGTGTGTGTGCTGTTTCTTGATATTCATCATCACATTCTTGTGTCTTCTTGTGTAACAGATTCAGCGTTCTTTAGGATGCAGTCATCATCTGCACCTGTTGTACCGGGGAAGCGTTCAGGCAGTTACCAAGATACGTATCTCTCGCAATCAGGCGGCTTAGGCAACTCCAAGGCCTTGTTTTCCTACGAAGAGATCGGCAAGGCCACAAACGGGTTCTCGCAAGAGAATCTATTGGGAGAAGGAGGATTCGGTCGTGTGTACAAAGGGATGTTACCGGACGGGAGAGTAGTCGCCGTCAAACAGCTCAAAATCGGTGGAGGACAAGGTGACAGAGAGTTCAAATCCGAAGTCGAGACGCTTAGCAGAATCCATCACAGGCATTTGGTTTCCATCGTGGGACATTGCATCTCTGGTGAACGTAGATTGCTCATTTATGATTATGTCTCTAACAACGACCTTTACTTCCACCTCCATAGTAAGTAGTAAACAAACATTGTCTTATAGATTACATCTCATACACACAACAACCACTGGTACTCACACGTCTTGTTAAACAGCATCTAAAGAAGTTCTTGATTGGGCAACTCGTGTTAAAATCGCTGCTGGTGCGGCTCGTGGACTGGCTTATCTCCATGAAGATTGTAAGTTCTGTTTGCTCTGTTTCACTCGCATAACCTTTCTTGCTACAATGTATCATCAAGATTTGAGATCTTTGATGTTTTCTTGTGGTTCTTTGGCTATTCTTAGCTAACTTTGTGTATTGTCGTCAGGTCATCCACGAATCATTCACAGGGACATTAAGTCGTCTAACATTCTCTTGGAGGACAACTTTGATGCTCGGGTACACATTTACTCCACTGTTCTTGATTTTCTTTGTGACTTAACAAACAGTATTTGATCTCTTGTTTTTTTGTAGGTTTCTGACTTTGGTCTTGCAAGATTAGCTCTTGATTGTAACACTCATATAACCACAAGAGTCATTGGAACATTTGGGTATGTATGTATGTGCTTTGGTTTGTTTTGATTGAAAAGGCAACAAAGATTGGGATCTAAATGAAACTTCCTTTCTCATTCATCTTCAGCTACATGGCTCCTGAATATGCATCAAGTGGAAAGCTAACAGAGAAATCGGATGTTTTCTCCTTTGGAGTTGTTCTTCTCGAGTTAATCACAGGACGTAAACCAGTGGATGCATCACAACCGATGGGAGAAGAAGGCCTTGTTGAATGGGTACACTTGCTATTTTTCAAACCTCCCTTAAGCCATTTGAGACGTTTTGCATCATTTGTGTTCTTTTTTTTCAGGCCCGGCCTCTGGTGAGTCATGCCATCGAAACCGAGGAGTTTGGTTCTATAGCAGATCCAAAGCTTGGAGGAAGCTATGTGGATTCTGAGATGTTTAGAATGATTGAAGCAGCAGGAGCTTGCGTGCGCCATTCAGCTGCTAAGAGACCTCGGATGGGACAAGTAAACAAAACACATTTCTTCATTTCTTCTTTTTCTTGACAAGAATCTTGAATGAATCTTGAAATGTTTTTTTTTTGTGTGTGCAGATTGTGAGAGCTTTTGAGAGTTTAGTTGCGGAAGATCTCACCAACGGGATGAGGCTTGGAGAGAGCGAGGTGTTTGACTCAGCTCAACAGTCAGCTGATCTCAGATTGTTTAGAAGAATGGCATTTGGTAGCCAGAATTACAGTACAGATTTTTTCACACATAGTAGTTACAACAGCAGAGAAGGAAACGTGTAAATATCATCACACATACACAGATTTTTTTTTTCCTGGCAACAAAACCCATCAAGAACAGATCAGTTTTGCCTGAAAACTTCTCATCTTCCACACATCATGTTCCTTCATCACAAAGCTGAACAAACAGTAAGCATCATCTCCCTCTCTTGTTTTTTGTTTTCTCTTGATCTGTGTTCATATGGTGAAAACTAAAAGAGACTGCTGATGCAACCTTGCAGAAACAGAGGATTTAAGAGGAGCATGTGATTGAACAGGAAGATGAAAAAATTTATGTTCTTGAACAAAAGAGGTTTCGTTTCTTGACATGGAAGTATCCTTTTGTATCTATTTTTCTTCTTTACTTTTACCATTAGAGTTTCCACATTCTGTGAAGTTACCTCCTCGTCATGTTGTCTCATTCTTATACTTATGATAAATCAACAAAGATTTTTTTTTCTGTCTTTCATTGTGTGTTCATATTCTACATCTAAAAAGACTGGTTTAGCCTTGTGAATCACCGTGATGGAGAGTAGAAACAAAGGAAACGAAAGATTGTTGTAGTTGCTTTAACGTCCAAGATTCGTAAACAATGCTTTTAAAAGTGTCTAAAAAATCCCATGTGGATTCTATCTATATGAGCACAAAGCAAATACTTAACAAACACATGGGTTGTTGCTTTGCCTTTGCATTTGTTGATACCAATATTGGCAAGGAACATATTCCTTTGACACAATCTGATGTCACCTCTTATGTTATCTGTCTTCTCCATCTCCTTTATATCTTTGTTGGTAGTTGGTACTTGGTACCGTAACATTTTTTCAATAAAGAGTAGTAATGGAGCAAGATTGTGGTGCTTATGCAGCAGATTGTGTTATCCTCTGTTGCTGCTGTGAGTGTTTTGTCCTTCAATTTTTTATCTTCCTCTTCTTCAAGATCCCTCGTAAACTTGCTCACAAGATGAAGAAGTTTGTGAAAAGAAAGCTCCGAGGAAAGAAGAGAGGAGACGCAAAAACCTTCTTACCCACAAAGGAGGATGATTGCAGAGAGAAGGAGGAAGAGCATTTGTCTAGTGATGATGGATCAAGATTTAGTTGCATGGAAGATATTGAGGAGATGTTGCAAGAACTTTCAATGGAAGGAGAGTTTGTATTTGGGAGTTTCTGGAGACAAGGAGAGACTTCAAACAACAATTTGGACATCAGATTTTCACAATACGAAACACTGATCATTCCTTGTCATTGCTCATCTAACCACAAGATTTGTTATTTGATTCAAGAATCCAATTAACAAAGCGTTAAGAGGACCGAGCCAAAGAGGCACATATTAACTTCTCTATCCATTCTCCTTTCTGTTTAATAAGATTGAGAATGACAGTAAAAACTGCAAAAACAAGAGAAAAGACTACATGACAACAACTACTGGCAAATCTCTCTACCTGAAGTCTGATGTATAAAGAACATAATCAGAATGTTCTGTAAGCTCAGGCAAAAGGCTGCAAGAATCAGAAATGTACATTCACTGGTTTAACCAGCCTTTCTCCGATCCAGTCTTGAAGCAAGAAAGCTTCTTAACTTTCATATATCTATGGTTCTATATACGTCCTGCGAGTCAGTTACACCATTCAAGAGGAGACATGTTTCTATATTCTTTGTTGATTCTGTAGTCATGATTCAGGCTCAGATCTTCTCACTGATCTCTTCTTAGCTTCTAATCTTGCAGTGAACCCAACTGTTGTAGGCCTTATTGATCTCTGCCTCACCATATCACAGTACTCAGGGTCATGGCACTGACCTTCGTACCTTAGCCACTGTATCATCCCATGGTACATTGGGAAAAACCTCATCTGAATCGCAGAGTAGATGAAGTAAGGCATCAAAGTGGTTACAACCACAAAGAGAGTGATGACCCAATAAGAAAGTGAAGGAGCTAGAGCTTCAACAAAGACTCTATATGCATTGGTTGATATCCTCGTTGGAATCTCTCCGTACACAGTCATGAAGAAGTACCAGACGATGATGGAGCCCCAAATGACAATGTGTTGGATCAGAGTGAAGTAGCTGATAGCTAAAGCCATCTGCAGATTCACAACCCATACAATACATGTGTACATCGTCCCACCTAAGATTTCTCTTCCCACGGTTTTGCCTTCTTTGTTGAAAGCTTGAGACTGGAGAGAGCTTTTGCAGAGGTAGAAGATGATCACTGCGCTGTAGAATCCGTTGAACATCCAGCCGAGAATCCGTTTCCAGCTGAAGAGAACGTTTTGCACACCTTCTTGGTATAACAATGGAAACTGAGAAAACCAAGAACATGGTTAGATCAGAGAGAAAAGATCAAGCTGTGTTGTGATGAAATGAGAAAGGTTTTTACCTTGAGACAAAACCGTGCAGATACATCTTGGTCAAAGACACCAAGAGCAATAACCGGAAGGGAGGAGAAGAAGACATTGTAAAGAGATAAGAACCAGTCGTTGTAAGCAGGTGTTGATGAGAATGTTGTGTATGCTTCATATAAGAAGAGAGTGAAACCAAATGTAATGTTCTTGTAGAAGAAGTAGCAAATCTGTGATTAAGAGAAGGAAGCTAATCAGTATTGTTTCTGTGATCTCAATCTGAGAGATGTGAAATGATATATATACCATTGTTGATATCCGCCTGTAACACCAATGTCCATGGACTAGTAACAAACGTTCTAGATATCTGAATTGAGCAATCGCAATGTCACTTGACATTACAGCCTGAACACAATGATCAAGATTAGTCCACAATAACAAAACAAACACAGTGAAAAATCAGCAAATGATAGTTATATAAACCTGCATTCCTTCTACGCCGCTAATACCGATACCTATATCTGCCTCTTGAAGCATTCCAACATCATTTGCACCATCACCAATAGCTAATGTTGTTTTACCATTTCCAGATTTCACTAGTCTTGTCACCTACATTACAGTGTAAACTCTTTGAGAAGATCTTGACAGCAGCATAAGTATTACCAAAAGAAGTAAGAAAGACTGACCAGAGCTTTCTGTTTTGGTGAGGAACGGCAACAAATGACAGAAGCACAACCAACAGCTAGCTCTAAGAAGATGTGTTTTATATCATCATCCAATGCGTAAGCAAGTGATTTTCCATCAATGATTAACGCAAAAGCATCAGAGTTTCCACCAGAATACTTTAGCTGAGCTTTTCCATTAATTATCTGCAACATCACACTTTCCTTTGATGCCTGCAAGAATAAATGTAGCTTTATCCATAATCTTATACTAATAACAACCATTCAGAAAAATACTAATGTCTGCTTTGTTTTTACCTTAACAATGGCATCTTTTTCTCCGGTTTTTTCTAGTAAAAGGATTTCAGGAGTCTCCAAGTTGATTATAATCTGCTTCATGTCTTGTCTAAGCAAACTACATGAGAAGCTGTCAAAGAAATACATACAAAAAGGTTCATAAAGTGGAAAAGATTGAAGAAAAACTGTATGCAGGAAACTCAAGAGTAGATAATATTTTTAAAGTGATACCAAGAAATTGATACCCAATATTGATAGCAGTTTCCATTTTGTCACCAGTCAAAACCCAAATCTTTATTCCTGCTTGAGCTAGCTTGTCAATGCAGTCAGGGACCTGTAAAGAAATCAAGGGACAAAAAGGAGATGATAAGCTAACTATAAATTGATCATATGAAGATGAATAACAATCATAAGCTTTACTTACTCCATTTTGGAGTTTATCTTCAACAGCAGTAGCTCCAAGAAGAATCAAGTCTTTCTCAACCTTCTCTGTGACTTCCTCTATCAACGATTCTCGGTCAGCACTAACCGAACTCTTGGCCTCGATGATACTCTCATTGAAAAGTTTGTACTCATTCTCATCAAGCTCACGGTACGCGAGTATCAAAGTTCTCAGCCCTGCATCAGCATACTCGTTCACATGCTCACGCGTCTCCTCTTCAAACTCTCTACCATTCTTTGAAAGTCTCTCAAACATAACACTGAGAAAAAACAAACAAGATGTTCAAAAGGAAGATCATTTCTATTTGAAAAATGTTTTCGAAACTTGAAAGTTACACTTACTTATCTGCTCCTTTACAAAGCAATAAGAGCTTCCCATCTTCATCCTGCACTATCACTGACATTCTTTTCCTCGTACTGTTGAACTCAAGAACGTTCAAGACTTTGTACAACCTGCAACACAAAAGCCATTTCACTCAAGAAAGTTCAAAAAGATAATACTTTTGTTATAGCATAAGATAAAAGAAGAGGAGATCGATGGACTCACCTTTCAACTCTTTTGCCAGTCACAAGATCAAGCTCTCTCACAGATATAGTACTTTGAGTTCTGTTAAAAAACTCAAACCCAAGCTCCCTCGCTGCAATAACAAACGCTGCTTCATCAGGAGACTCAGCCTCATAAGAGATCTTCCCATTATCTTCATCAACTTCAGGTATCACTGTATGACACACAGCTAACAACCTGAAAAACTTCTGAATCACATCAGCATGAGCTTCAGTGACCCAGTTCCCATTCATCACCCTCTCATCTCTAAAGTTGAATCCTTTCACCGTAGCTTCCTCAGCAATCGCCTCTTTACTATACTCCAAATCATCACCACCACTCTCATTCCCCTGAAACACCAAAGTTGAGCCTTTCCTTCTTCCCATAGTCATCTCCACCTCCGTAACACCACGTCCATAAGCCGTCCCCGCAACAGAACACTTGATAAACTCCATGGAGTTACAAGTCAACGTCCCAGTCTTGTCAGAGAGAATCGTATCCACCTGTCCAAGCTCTTCGTTAAGGTTAGAGGTACGTGCACGAGCAGGCTTGTCAGCTTCTTCATAGTACATGTGAATGTCCTGGTTGATGAAGATGCTCTGAAGAACCTTCACAATCTCTATAGACACATACAAAGATATAGGAATGAAGTAGCTATACAGCATAACCGCGGTTAGGAAGTGATAGAACGAAGCCACAGGAGCTCTTTTGGGGTCAAAGAAGATGCTTGAGCTATCAGGTCTCAAATACCATCTCTTCACCACACCACCGTCTTCAAAATCATCTCTTGTTGTGACTCCAAAGATCACAGAACCGATAAAAGCCATTGAAACCACCATGAAGAACATCAAGTAGATGATCTTGTCCATCTTCTTCTCAATCATGCTTCTCTTAGAAGGAGGACCTGTTGAGTTCTGTATCACCTTTGTGTCATGACCTGTGAAGATAACCGCTCCGAAGATGAAATCAGTGTTCCTTAACTTCGAGTCTCTGAGAAGAAGCTGTTGCGGCGAGAGAGGAAATTTAGCTCCTTTAAGCTCCATGGTGCCAACGAATGAATACAAATTAGCATTTGGATCCTCACATTTAACAAAAGCCTCAAACTTTTTGAAGCTAAACTCTTCTTTTAAAGAAGAAGTCACTTCAAGTCCTTGTTTCACTTTGAGATTCGTCTCACCGTCGAGATTCATCGTCTCTACATAGCAAATAGCATCTTCGTAGCTTGAAGAAAGCAGAACAAGATCCGCCGGAAAAAACTCGTTTTTCTCAACCTTCACTATATCTCCAATGCTTAAAGTCTTCCATTCTTTAGAATCAAAACTCCCATCTCCTCTATGAACTTTCACTTTCCTATTATTCACCTCAATATCCTAATAAAGTTTCAAACTTTAAGTTCCAAATCATCTAAAGTCATCTAATTTAAGCTCAAATGACAATAAAGTTTCCAACTTTCAGTTCCAAATCATCTAATTTAAGCTCAAATGAGGATAAAGTTACCTGCTTTTTGCGGCGCCAGTCTTCAACGCCTTCTTTAACCATTGTAGCGCCGATGACGAAAAGCAGAGGAACAATGGCGCTTGAAGCGGTGTAAGGAGCGAGAGGAGTGAAAGACAAGACCCCAGTGACTAAAAAGTAGAAGTTTGCGACTCTTCTGAATTGCTCGAAGAGTGATTTCGGTAAGAAAGTGGCGAGAGTGTACTTTGTGGTTCTCACGTAGTTGTCACTGTAGTTTCTTGAATCGGATTCGGGTGAATCCGGTTCGTTGCAGTAGACGACCCGAGAGAAACCGGGCGTTCCGATTTGGGAGTGGTCTTGCTTGAAGCATGCTTTGGAGCATGTTAAAGTGTATAGCTTGCTTAGTTGGAGTAGTCTTCTTCTTCGTCTCTTTGTTCCATTTCCTGCCATTTGAGGAGATCTCTGCACACACACACAAAGTTTGAATCTTTTTTACTGGAAACAAATTGTAAAGTTTTTCAAGATGGAATCTTTGAATTATTTTAAAGTTAAAACACGCAAAACAGAGCGACCCAACTGATTTTTTTTTTTTTTTTTACACCCGCGAGAACATTTTAAAGAATTTGAGAAATTAAAGTTTCGATTTTTTTTTTTTTTTTGTAAAAGTGGAAAAGGAAAAGAAAATGAGAAAAGACAGTACCGATTTTTGGCAGGACCTCAAACCAACCGAACAGCAAAAGCAGAGAAGACCGTGACTGGTTTTATATTCCGACCTCGTGCTCTGTGTCTCCGGTTACGTAGAAAAATTTTCTCGGGAAAATATCAGGGAAATAATCGAGATATTCAGTGAGTGAGGAGCTGAAAGTTTTGTGAATCTTCAAGATCAAAGAAGGGTATTTACGAAAGCTTGTGATCTGTGAGAAAGTCGAGATTTTTTTTCTAACCCATAATTGGAAAATTACAGCTGTGAGAGAGAGAGCTTGAGTGAAGAGATCTCAAGACTTTTCGATTTCTCTGCTTTTTATAATCAAATTTCTTCCCCTATCCCTATCCAAACAATTTGGGAAGATGAAGACGAGGAAGAAAGGAACACAGAGAAAGTGCCAAGATTCGGACAAGTCATGGTTTTTTTTTTCTCTAGAAAATTAATGTATTAACGGAATAACAGCAAATCAAATGCTGCATTTTTTTTTCTCCATAAAGAACAAAAAAATTTCATAGATGGAGAGAAAGAAACAGTCTGTTTATTTTCCGAGAAAATGGGAATCTGGTGATCATATAAGGTAAGAACTTTCAGGTAGAAAGAAACAAAATCCGGACAGTGAAATTTATAATATATAAAAAAATATGTTTTTGAGAAAATTAAAATGACAAGGACTATGATGATGATCTGCCAGTTTCAGAAGTAAGAGAATTTTAGTGTCAGAATTTCAGAAGGGGAAAAAGAAAGTGAGAATCTGGTGAGAGAGGGGAAAGAAGAAGAAGAAGAATCAATCGATTGGAGGAACATTAGATGCGCCGTCATGGCGGAGAAGGTGACCAAACACAAAATGCGGGTCAAACACTTAAATCAGATGCATCAATGCCTCAATTCTTTTATTTAATTTCTCTACTCTCTTAACTCTTGAATTTAACTTATACTTACTATTTATATTAATATGTACTACTATTAAGTAGTGTACCTTAATTTTAAACTCTTGCATCAAAAGATTAACCATTGAGGTAACCATAAATAGGAGTGCTTATGTACATATTAATTTTATGAGTGTTTTATATACTCTAGTATTTGGTTTATACACACTAGCTAGCATTTTCTTGTTCTCATTGGACATTGGTAATGGGTTGGGGAAATAACTTTATAAACTCGAGTATTTGGTTTTGTTATTAGAGGAACTTTGACTTTAATGCATAAAACATGCCACCGGCTTTGCATAGTTTGGTATGCATCATTGAATGCATGCATATTGCTTTCAAGTAATTCCCTGTTCACAGAGACCTCGTGGTTAACGTATTACGAATCTCATTTCATAAGATAGAACTATCAAAAAGAGTGATTCTGAAGTCGCTAGATTTGTTATCTTCTGACAGTTTATGCAATCAACGAACTTCTGTTTATGGGCGTCTCGTGACATATAGAGAGAGAGGCATAGTTTTTGTTTGTAGCCTTGTAGGTTTTTCTCCTGTTTTGGCCGTTAGTCCGTTACTTACAAGTAACAAGAATGAAAAATTTGTAAATTTATGAATCTGAAGATCTCCTATAAAAACTATTTTGCTATATATTCTTCCATGCACATGTACTAAATAATCAACATATTTAGAAAATCATTAGAAAAGTCTTAGTAAAGATTAGACACGTACATTTAAAATATAAAATATATAGTTAGTTATATGCTAGTGTTGATAATTTCTCACTCTCGTGGTAAATTTTCTAAGGAATTTCAACTATTTGGCCATTATACTATAATGTTTGTGGAAGAATTTGATTGATTAGATTCATATGTGGTCATTATGACACCGAGCGAGCGAATTCCACGTTACAGAGAAGTTAGGTCATGTGATATAAATACATTTTTTGCATTGTTTTGTTGCAGGACTAGTTATCTCGATCGTTGGAGGTCTACGTACTCTTAATAAGACATAGAGATAGGTACTTAATAAATTTTAATTACCTGGCTTATCCAATAATTTGGAGGTCGTTTCAAAAACTGAGCGATTAATTAGATTTTAATTTTATATGATTCATGTACCTAATACAAAATTTGGGGTTTTCTCAAAATATCAGGAATTTTTTTTTTTCATCTGGATATCTATAATCAGTTATTATTCTTATATTATAACCACCATGATATAATATTATATATTGCATATGTCACTTTATCAAAATACTTATCCAAACATAACAAAATTACAATCGGAGTCTTTACTTTTCCCCCATGCTATCTCAGCTACTAGCTTCGCTCGAACTTTATCTCAGCTACTGGTTTGTGGCAATCCTTGACAAATTCAACATACAAAGAAATGTTATTATTTAACCCTATTTAATTAATGTGAAGTTGTTATATGTTATGAAGTCATTTTGCAAAGTGCAACGTAGCGAGATGTCACACTCATTATAATGTCAGTCATGAAAAAAAAAAGAGGTAAACAAGACTTTGGCGAAGAATGAATAACTAGTTAGATTGGCAATCAAATTACACATCATGCCTTAGAATATCACAAATTTCAGTATTCCCCTGCAATACCAAAGTAGTTTCACTAATTATATACTCCCTCCATTTTTTTAAGATGAATTTTCTAGAGTTTTCACACATATTAAGAAAAAGTTGATTTTCAATCATTAATGTATAGATTTTGGCAATAAAACAACTTTCTATAAACTTAGACCAATAAAAATCTAACAAATTCAATTATTGTTTCTTGAAAACTGAAAAAGTACTTCAAAAAGCTAAAAATTTTATCTTTGTGAAACAACAAAAAATATCCAGAAAATTCATCTTAAAAAAACGGAGGGAGTATATCATATCCTATTTAGTTGTCTCATTTAGAGACAAACTGTGGTTTCTTCTTTTTCTCCATCAAATATTTTCAAAGCCTATAATATTTTTCATCATCTAAACATGCATTTGAAGAGAAACCATTTGCAAAAAAAAAAAAAAAAAAAAAAAAAATTTGAAGAGCTACATAAATTAATACATTAGAAGTATGTACATAACCATCAAACCTTGCAAGCTATTAAATCAGGAGTTCAGGAATCAGGACACAGCTAATATTTCTTCGCATGGTTAAAATGTTCGTTACTTCTCTTTAGTGTCTTTAAACCTTCTCCAACATTTGAATACTGAAGTGGTTTAATTATATTAGTCGGCATACATCTTCGGTGTTTCAGTGTTTGTCGGTATCCGGCGTTAAAACAACTAAAGAGAGAAGCTTCTAAATTTTGTACGTATAAACTATGAAGATTTTTTTTTCTTTCTAATGCAGGGTGTCGTTTTATAATTCATAAACTGATGTTGACGTAAAATAAATAAATAATTGATGTTTACATGAATGAGGAGAGCTTGCCACGAAGATGGTAGGAGCCGACAGAAGCTAAAGTCCATAGCTTTTTTTTTTTTTTTTTTGGTTCAAAGAGAGTACAAACGAATTAAAGACCATAAATTGACGTTAATTAATCATTTTTATTGTTTACTAGGAGGTCTTCGCGCAGAAATTTATAATATTGTGCTAATTTTATTTGCAATTTTTTTTTAATGATTTATTATTATTTCAAAAATATCATATCTATTAATTAAATATAATTAAAGTTAAGCAAAATTCTTATACCGTCCTATCCAATTCCGTCCTATTTCGTTCATCTTCATCATGTATTGTATGTTTTTTTTTCGCTCGGTCCATCCCGTGTAATCTTATCCTATTATGTTATTTTCCTTTTTGTCCTGTTTTATCCCGTTTTTTTCCATTTCTTTTTGTCATGTCCCTAAATATAATTAGAGAGGTAAAATTTCCGTCCCATTCTGTCTTATTATGTTCATTTTTATTATATCTCATTCTATTTATTTTCATCCCATCTCGTCTGTCCCGTCCAGTCTCATCTTATCTTATTTTGTTTTTTTTTTTCCGTCTTGTCGTGTCTTATCTTGGTTCTTCTGTTTCTTCATGTCTCTATCTTGTCAATTTTTGTTCTTTTTTATCTCGTTTCGTCACTTAATATAAAAAAAAATAAGCAAAATTCCTCCTCCGTCCCATTATTTTTCTTATCATCATGTCCAATCCGATCTTGTCTCATATCATTCTAAAATCTATATTTGTTTGAAAGAAAACTAAATAATTTAGCAAAACTAAAATTATTGAATAATATTTTTCTAGATCCATATATAAATTTTATATTTTTTAAATGACTTTTCAAATTTTTATTAAATTATATTAATGAATGATAATTATTATGAGAATAAATGACAATTTATTATGATCACCATATAATTATGGGTGTCAAAATAGGTAATCTGAGCCGACCCTAACACATACGAGGTTGAAGGTTATAGGGTCGGATTACAATCTAACCCGTTTATTTTGTGGTTTATAAATTTATAACCCAAACCCAATTATGATAATATCTATGGGTTAAATGAATTATATGGATACCCATATTATTCATCAGTAATATGAATTACTAAAATAGTATTACTCATTTGTTGTAAAAGAAAAAAGTTTATTACTCATTTATATATAATAACAAATTCATAATTGTGTATTAAAACAAAATAAAATACCTATAATTAGATAAAACATAAACTAAAATCATAATATGTAACAATAAATTTATGAATATTTTTTATATTTTATATTTTTTTTGGTGATAAATCCATGTGTAACTCATAATTCTAATGGGTTTATTAATTAGACCTATAAACTATTAAGGTTAACCTACTAAACTCTATTTATTTATATGGGTGGGTAACAAAATTCAACCCAAACCTGTTAAAAATTTGACCATTAAGATTAACCCATGGGTAGTAACCTATTTTAACACCCTTACATATTATTGATATGAGTAGAATTTAACATAAATAAAAAAAATCATCAAAAATATGAAAAAATAAATAAAATATAAGCAAAACAAAAACAAAATAAAAGCAAAACAAAGTAACAAATAATAAAAATCTTCTATATATTAAGTACTAATGTAATAGTTTGATAGTTTATGTTGGGTCGACATGGGATTATTGTCACACATGTCATTGTGAAATGATAATATTTAATATACAGAGTAAATAAACCTTAAAAAAAAACATTTTGCATCCAAATCAGTTTAAAATTACGGTTCACTTCTTCTGCATACATCATCAATTAGTGTATTGTTGTCGTCGTGCATGGATCATATTTTTACTTATATTTTTTCCAGCTTTATTAGTTTTTATATGTGGATTTGGGTCCGGATATCCTTTAGATCATTAGTTATCATTTTAAAACCAAAAGCAAAAGGATATAAGAGCATTTCCACTAGTAATACCCTCATATAGGTATTATAACATTTTTTATTAATAATTTTATCTTATTTTTTTTAAGAGACTTGCATTAGATTTATGATTTTACTCTTTTATTGGTGATACTCTATAGAGTATATTAAAAAAAATTATGCTATAAATAAAACACACAAAGCAATGCAAAGAAAAAAAATGGGACAGAGAGAGTAATAGTTTCCAAGTTTTCCGTCGGACATAATTTTTTTTTTAATTGTGTGAGTAACAATAATGATTTATTAGAAAAAAACTCACATCTTGTTAGAAACTTACATACATATATATCATTAACTATATATTGTGGAAAGTTATACTAAGATCCAATGTTTGTTTAATAATTGAATTTGTGATTCATTTGTTAAGTACTAGTAGTATTTATTGGAAGATTTATAGATCGTACGGGTACGGCCTACATACTTTTTCTTCTTCGTGTGGTGTTTGAAGAACCAAATAAAGTTGGTATAGCCATAAATTTAAAGTTGTGATTGATATTGATGAGACTTTTGGCTAAAGAAATCAAGGACTTTAAGATGTTGACGATGAAATCCACACTGTTTACGGAATCTTCATTTAATTGAAACAAATATTCCACGAAAATGTAGTTTGAGAAAATAATTAACATGTTGACCAACTACTCCTCATATTTTATACGTACATATTGTAAATTAACATTTTTAATGTTGGAGACCAAAGACATTTCCGAACTAAAAATATAATTCGGAGTATATTGTAAATTAACATTTTCAAACTTCTCTATCTTTTGACCTTTTCTTTGTTAGAAAATATATTTGTGTTGTCAATAACTTGTATTATGTGAACTTAAGTTCAAATAGTAACGCATTAACGACACTATCACAGTCCACTAAACTACATAAGGTGCATTGTACATGTTGGAATCCAAAACACATAGATACCATTTAAAAAACCTACGTAAATATTCTAAGCTATTTTTTGCTACATATAACTACCAGAAGAAATGAATTCCTGTTAATGAATTTAACTTGTGTTAGACCAATTATTGTACTAGTAATGTAATCTCTAAACCATATAGATTATAGTGGATGATTGTCTTCATATGTACAAAATGTTGAAATATCACATTGGAGAGTTTAGACATTTCCGAATGATCTTTTTACACATCCCATTCGAATCCTCCGATGACAACATCTTTGCTCTCTTTTATTCATCCTCTTTTTGACGCAATTACATAACTTTAGTCTCCTCTCATTTTTCTTTTGGCTCCTCTATCTCTCTCTCTTTTTTTGTTGTTGTTGTTTCCTTTCCAATTTGATACTACTTTTGGAGCTAGACTTAACAAACAAACCATTTTTTTGGGTTTACGTGTTTAAGTTGATTTTGAATGAATCCAAAACTACCAAAAGTATAATGCTTTTTTGGGGGCCAAATTTTCAATTACAATCAAGATATTTATATTATTATTATTATTTTTTTTTTGTTCTAAGATATTTATATTCTTAAACCTGATTTTTATAACTAGAATCATTTTTCAATAATAAAAAGAAACACTTAACGCAAAACTCCAATTTTGCTGTAGCGCCAAATTAAGAAATAAAAAGTTCCAAAGTAAAAGAAAATTATGTTTCAAAAGAACAGAAAGATGAAAAACACAAGCAAAGACAATGGACCACACACACACACACACGCGCACAAAAACAAATAAAGACAAGGTAATAAAGAAAAAGAATAGTGAGTGAGTGAGTGAGTAAGACCAATATGGAAAAAGAAAAAAAAAAGAGACAAAGAAGAAAGAGATAAGTTCAATTTGGTCAAATCAAGAATCTAACTGCCACAATAGCATAGAAAATGGGAGGGCAAACAGAGAAACCCAATTGGCTAGTGTCCAACACATGCAAATACCTATAAACCTCACCTGTACTTAGCTTCTTCTAACTCTAACCAACTTCTTAAATACTATTCTCTATCTATACATTCATACACAAAAGTCACGTAACAAAACCATCATCCACATTATCCATATTGTATCTGTGTATAACCACGTCCTTATCAATCAACTAACATTATGTTAGTCACAAATCACGATATCTACACACCATAACAGCTAGTCTCAATAAACGGCACTAAAAGATACGAGAGTATCGTGTATATTTCTAGATATTTTACTCGACAGACGACAGCTACCGTTATGTAAATTATTGTTCGTTTTTTTTTTCAGAAAACTTCTAGCGAATAATGTATATGTTACAAATTTTGACTTTGTCAGTGATAACTTTAGTTCCACAACTATATACTTTTCTTATCAGTGACAACTCTGTGTTACTTAGTTTCCTAAAATTTCAATTAAATATAACATTTTTTTTGTGTGGAAGTGCCTTTATTCAATTTAATATATACAGGATTTGACCAAATGTTCATTTCTGTTTTTACATTGATTCACAGAACATACGATTTCTACAAATTGTTAGAAGAAGCCCATACACATTAAATAGGCCCAATATAAAGCGAGCGAGTTTGAGTTTTTTTATCCTCAATCTCTCGACTCGGTCAAATTCAATTTTACCAACTCAACTAAACCGGTCTGAGTTTTTAATGACTCGCTCTTGTCTTCTTCTTCCTTTCCAAATCCCACACACACAAATACTTCATAATCATTTTCCGATGTAAATCTCATCGAGAAATCACAACAATGGTTTCCTTCATTTCAATACGAAAACTTCACTAGCTGAAACTCTGCTCAACGAGGTACCTCTTCTTCTTCTTCCTCTCTCTCTCTCGGCAATATGTTCAATACATACACAAACTCAGTTCTATGGCCGATTAGAAGTAGGAATTACCATGATTACTGCTCTCTACTCCCTGAGAGATCTGAAACTTACCAATCTACATCGTTGAGATGTTGCTGCGCTAGTTCTCGCTCTAGCTCACGCTGCTGCTGTTGCTATTCAACACCATCTTCTTCTTCTTCATTTGTCAAGCCTAAGGTATCGATAAACCCTGGATTTGTGCTTTACGGGCTCAGACAATCCACTCTCATTCAATGTCCTCCGTTTCGAAGGAGGTTGCTGCTCGGTGTGAGTGTGAGTCGTCTTCCCGATGTGCATTGCTGTGAATCTGAGGTGTATTCATCTTGTGGTGGCATTAGACGAAACCGGGGATTTAGGATTAGGGCTTCTGAAGAAGAATGTGGTAGAAGTTGTTGTCCAGATGATGTAGAGGCTATGATTTCGTTTTTAAGTGAGGAATTGATTGGTGAAGAAGAGAGAAAATGGAACTTAGTTAGTAGTGTTGAAGAGAGGAAGAGAGTGAGGTATGGTGGGAATGCGAGAAAGGTTAGAGATGAAGTTAAGAACGAAAGAGTTAAGAGACGAAATGGGATTAGAGAAGATGTGAAATTAGAGGAGAAGTATGATTGTGAACATTGTGGGAGGAGAAAGGAAAATTCTCAGCTGGAGAGTGGTGACTCTTATAGGAGGAAGGAAGAAGAAAGAGAAGTTCGGCCGAGAAGGACGAAGAGGTCGAGTTGTTCATCGTATTATTCACTTGCTTCTTCTTCAGGGGAAGTTGAGAGTGATGAAGCTGAAGAACAGGAGGAGGATGTGGAGTTTCGTCGTGAGAACGTGAGAAGTTCAGAGAAGAAGAAGAAGAAGGTTGTTGAACAGTCAAGCAAAAGAATGGAAGCGTCTCAGATTCATTCGAGGAGAAAGAGAGACGAGAGGTCCAATCAGGTCTTTGAGGAAGGGGAAACTTCAAACCAGGCGGTGAGTTTGAAGCAGAGAAGAAGAGGGAAGCAGTTTAGCCAGACTGGTAATAGACAGTCTGAAAATTATGAAGAAGATATGGAAATTCATGAGATCCATGTTAACGATGCAGAGACAAAGTCCGAAAATCAGAAGATATTTGGTGAAAGGGAGGATAATAGAGTCCACTCTGTTCGTAATGATTACGGAAGAGAAGATGTTGAGAGTTCTCAGCAGCAACTGGAGGAAAGATTGAGGGCTCGTTATAGCAGTGAGGAAAGAGTTTCTGATTTGCGGAGAAGAACCAAATATAGCAGTAACCAAGAGGAAGGTGTAAATGTGGTCCAAAATTTCCAGGAGGTGACGAATACGCAGCAACCTCAAGTAGAAGAAAGGATAGCTAAGCAAGCTGGTTTGAGAATGAGTACTGAAGGTATAAATGCTCAGCAACCACAAGTAGAAGAAAGGATATCTAAGCAAGCTGATATGAGATTGAGTAGTGAATACTTCTCTGAACATTCAGAAATTCATGACATCAACATCAGAAATACATATGTCTTGCAACGCGAAGAACAGATTCGAAACCAAGAAGTACAGGCTGGTTTGCAATCAGAAGGGAGGCAGCAAGATTATCATATTGAACAAAACCCTTTGCCAAAGATCCAGTCTGACAGAACTTCTGTATCTCGTAGTAGTGATGCAGTAAGGTATACAGAAGTTGAGAGAAAATCTGAGAAGAGGTTTATTGGTCAAGGAAGTACTACGATTGTGCAATTGGGCAGCGAAGCAGGAAAAAGCGGTGCTTGGAAAGACTCTATGCTAGATCATGCTAACTCGAGAAAAGAAGGTCAAAAGCCCTTACGGCTGCAAAGTTCTCAGGAGAAGCTATCTGAAGTGGCCTCAACTTCTCATTCATCTTCGACGTTGGTCTCTGGTAATAGAATGCAGCTTGTAGATCTGGTTTCAGAGGAGATGAAAGGATCTGAAACAACACTGATTCCTCCTTCTTCTCAGCTGGTAAGCAGAGGCTCTGGGCGAAGTTATGGAACTGGTGGAGTTACCATTCAAGAAATTTCCGACGGAACTTCAGAAAGTGGTTATCCCACAACATTTGAACATCCAGGAACAGGAGCTTTTGATAACAGTCAGTCTGCTGGAGAACTGATGAGATTTACAGGACAAGAAGATGCTCTGGATTCTGCTCATCGGTTGGAACAGTCATCAGAGAAATACGTTGGGGAGTTTTTGAGAAAGGCCAAGCATGAAGTGACAACTCCAGAGACTGAGGAGCCAAGAGACGAAAGCAATCAGTTGAAGAGACGAGACTCAAAGCGATCATCTGGTGGTTCAGGAGCAAAGGGACCTCCAGATGAAATGTGGGTCACGAATTCTGCTCAGGGAACTCCTCAACCAGTAGCCACAGAAGGAAATGCTGTTTTCAAAAGAAATGGTAGATCCCTGTGGAGTGTGATCGGCGATATTGCTCGGCTTAGGTGGGGCTCACGAGTTGGAAGCCCTGACTCGAGTGCAAAGCCCGCTGGAAAGAGTTCACCCAGCGAGTCAGTCAGCAGTGCAACATGGTTTTCTGGACGTGAGCATGGAGGAAGCAGTGATGATAACACAAAAGGGAATAGAGTTTCGCCGCCAGAAGCTGCTTCTCCCAAAGGCCAATCTGAACCTTCAGGCGCTACGACTCCGAAGCAGCAATCTGGACAGCATGAAGCTGTAGCTTTATCTTCACCTTCTGCAATATTAGAAGCTGGCTCTGCATCAAATCTCATTTCTTCCACATCTGGTGATCAAATCGTTGCCATAGACGAAGAAGAAGGCAGAGACTTTGAGTTTCGTCTCTCTAAAACAGCTTCGACAGAAGTTCCAATGAGACTACCTAGTCGAAACCTGAGAAGATCTCCTGCTATCAAAGAACCATCAGAAACTAGTCCCACCGAGGTATCTATCGATCAAAATGTTACTCTGGGAAAAGGAAGCCGCTATCAGGCTCGTGTTCCTGAGATGGATGCAGTAGAAAAGCCGTTACCATTCCCTCCAGCTCGAAACCTAAGGTCTCCTGTTATAAAACAACCTTCACAACCCCGTCCTACCATTGTATCTGGCAGTAGCAGCTTAAGAGAGCAACAACAACAACAACCTCTAAGTGAAAAGTCTCAGGAGGAAGCAGGTTCCACTCAAACAGACTCTCCATTGATACAAAGGAAACTTCAGAGGAACAAGCAAGTTGTGAGAGACAGTTTTGAGGAGTGGGAAGAAGCTTACAGAGTAGACGCTGAAAGACGTACATCCGACGAAATATTCATGAGAGAAGCGTTAGTAGAAGCCAAGAAAGCTGCTGATATATGGGAAGTACCTGTTGGAGCTGTGCTTGTGCATGACGGGAAGATCATCGCTCGTGGTTTTAACCTGTAAGTTTAACTTTTTTTAGAATTCTATATTCTCCTGTAGGATTCATTTAACCATTGTCTTGTGTGTTTCAGAGTCGAGGATCTTCGTGATTCGACCGCTCATGCAGAAATGATTTGCATTCGAGAAGGTTCTAAAGTACTTCGTTCATGGAGGCTCGCGGTAATCTGTTTGTTTACATTGCTTTAACAACAGAGCTTAAGTTTTTGGTTATTTGATGTTAATGATGCAATAACTTTGGTTATTCATCCAACAGGATACGACGCTCTACGTAACACTAGAACCGTGTCCAATGTGTGCGGGAGCAATACTTCAAGCAAGGGTCAAGACTCTTGTGTGGGGTGCTCCTAATAAGCTTCTCGGAGCAGATGGTAGCTGGATCAGGTACCAAATAGCTTCTGCAACTGATAAATTTTGTTCTTGAACTTCACCGAGTCAAAACCATTGAACATTTTTTTACGTTTTCAGGCTGTTTCCTGGAGGCGAAGGAGACGGATCAGAAGGTTCTGAGAAGCCGCCGCCTCCAGTGCATCCGTTCCATCCTAACATGACAATCCGGCGCGGAGTTCTTGAATCGGAATGTGCTCAGACGATGCAGCAGTTTTTCCAGCTGAGGAGGAAGAAGAAAGACAAGAACTCAGATTCACCTGCTCCTACGGCCGATCATCATCATCACCATCCGTCGAAACTCCTCAACAAGATGCATCAAGTCTTTCCCTTTTTCTGTCTGTAGCCTCAAGTGTCTAACGCAGCCACAACCAAGAACAAGTTTTTGCATCTGTTTTGTTCAAAAATTGTATATTTATGTCCCACTGTCATTAGTTAAAATCTGAAGACCAGGTTTGGTTCATTGTAATGCCCGTTGATCTGTAACGTTATGCACACGTTTTCTTTCATCTTTATATATCCAATCTCTATTGACGTGATCTAGACTCCTTACCAGTTTTAGGTCCGAGGGAAGCATCGGTCCCATTTAGTTGAAGATTAACAAAAGCAGAGTATCATTAAGGAGATATTATTTGATAAGAACGTAATGATGGCATGGAATTATAGGGATTGCTAAATAGTTAGAAGCAACGTAGCATTCTGATGATGTCTTGATCTCTTATAAACCCACCTAACCATCGTTACACCAAACTTTTTTCATTTATACTTCAAGAAATCTCTAATGTTCCTAAACCTTTTTATATGCAACAATACTTCAAGAATTTTAGCTTCCATCTCAACACAATGGCTTCAAAATCAATCATTTGGTCTCTTCTCTTACTTTCTTATCACATCTCTCCCTTTAGTGTCAATGCACAAGGACCTGCTGCTTCACCATCAACCTCCACCACCACAACTCCTCCTCCAACCACCACTGCTCCTCCTCCAACCACCATAGCTCCTCCTCCAACCACCATTGTTCCGCCTGTTTCAGCTACACCTCCACCAGCAGTTACTCCAACTACATCACCGGCTCCAAAAGTTGCACCAGTAATTAGCCCCGCAACTCCACCTCCACAACCACCACAAAGCCCGCCTGTTCCAGCTCCAACCGTCTCACCACCACCAGCACCGTCTTCTCCCCCACCGGCACCAGCTTCACCACCACCTGCACCAACTTCACCGCCACCAGTACAAGCACCTTCACCAATAACTCTACCACCAGCTCCAGCACCGGCTCCTACCAAGCACAAGAAAAAGCACAAACACAAAAGGCATCACCATGCCCCAGCTCCAGCACCACTTCCCCCAAGCCCTCCATCTCCTCCATCTCCTCCAGTTGTAACAGATTCACAAGCCACGTCTCCAGCACCATCACCGGACACGGTAACAATCTCATCCTCAACAACAAATCTTGAATGAGAAGATAAAAAAGGTTAAACTATAACTGCCATGTTTCTATATACTAACTTTTTTTTTGTTTTTCATTTCTTATTTACAGAATGGAGGAAATGCTTTGAATCAGCTTGAAGGAAGAGTAGGAATGTGGCTCAACACCGCACTTGGAATTATCTTTCTGCTGGCTATGACTGCCTAAAGTTTCTAGCTTTCATGATGTAACGACTCAATTTTTTCCACATGTATACCGCAACACATTGATTCAAAAATAATACATTCATTTTGTATTCTTTTGCTGAAAATAGCTTTGCTTCTAATCGCACGTAAAAGAACATACCTAAGAAAGAAAAAGAACAAAAATTTGATACAATACATTCGATTTAGCTTCATCAAACTTGTTCAGTACCCAAATCCTTGGAGGTTTCACGGAAGTCGTACTCAACAATGAGGCCAAGATTGTCAACTAGTTTATGATGCTGAAGACATCCTCCACACTGCCAAAGAAAAGGCAATCAACCAATTAAAAGACAACATTTTGTGTTCTCTCAGCTTCAAGATTCATACACAAACACTTGCTAACTCTCTTGGGCAATTAAGCAAACATGTGGTGTGCAAAAGTTGTTCATATCAAAGGAAGCAGAATCAGAGACCTTACCTGAACAAAGACAAGGCCACGTTCATAGGCCAAGCGATTGATAAGCCGTTTTGTTCTTTCTCCGCATGAATTGCAAGTGAATTCCACAAGCAAACTTCTTCTCGGTAGTTTAATATCTACAGAAGCAACTTTTCCCTGGACAACAAAGCAGCAACATTTCAGCGAGAAAAACAGAGACACATACTAAGAGAAGACCCAATTTCGTTGAATTACCTCTGAGGAATCATTTGATTCTTCTTCTGGGTTTAACACGGAATCATCAGTGAGAGACCCGAAAACAGAAAATGATCGATTCCTTTGCTTGGGTGGAGCTAGCTCTATCACACGAACAGTTCTCGACCTGAAGGAAAAACAAAAAGGATAAAACTTTTGGAGATTTTCGAATTGGGAAGAAAAATTGAGATCAGACCCAGAAAAGAAAGCATGATTGAGAAGAGAATTAAGCTTCGGACCTCCGTAGAGACGATATAGGGTTCTGCTTATACGAGAGGAGAGGCGGCTTGTAGAAATTGATTGGCTTCCGGTTAACACTTGCCGGAGAATAAAACGGAGCTAAAACCGGAGTCAAACCGGCGGTCATAATCGCCATGTTTTGCGTCATTGTGTATTGCCTCCATTGAAGCTAACTCGAGCTATTAGAAAAGCAGCTTTTAAGACGAAAGAACATCCACCGTTGATTTCCACGGTTTCAACGTCTCAGATGCAGTCACGACAACTATCACATTAACTAATCTTAAAGCTCAATTTTGTTCGAAATAAACTCTTAATTTTTGTTTTTCACTTAGATTTTTTTTGGTGATGAACAATGATGATGAAAGAGGGGAGTAAGATTCTTTTAGTTACATCAATTTTCGGACAAGAATAATAATAACAATAATTTTAAAGATTCTTGATCATGATCACAAAATATGTTTGATCAAGAAAGAACAAATTCTTCAATATCCCCTCTTTTTTTGTTTCTTCTCTTGTTCTCTCAAATTTGACAAAGCTAATAATGTCGATGATCCATCAGATTCAGTCTTCTTCGTCGACTTCTCTGAAAGGAAGTGGCACTGTCTTCACAGCTCGAAACTTCCCTGCATTATTTAGATGCTCATTCTCCAATCTGCCACAATTTTACACGTACAAGCATCAGTATCCGATACCAACACTAAAAGACTAAAAAAGGGAGATTTCAATTCTTTTACCGGTAAAAGTTCCAATGTCCTCTCCTAATGACTTCAAGAGCAGCCAAGAACAATCCTGTGACTCTATAATCCACATGCTCAAAACTTGAGTGCAAAACTGTTTGTAGCCATGCCAACCTCAGAACAAGATTTAGAACCTACAAAAAGCGTTGCTTCTTCAGTAAAAAAGATGGTTGAAAGAATTATATTTATTCGTGTATTTGGTTGATAAAAAAGATTTTGGAGTTTGTACCATAGAGAAGTAGTAAATGGATTTTTGGCGAAGCATGAGTTGGTTCCTAAGCCAAGGGTTGTTGGAATTTTGTTGGAGTAAACCCCAATCTTTTACAAAGTCCCAATACAATTGGTAAATTGTGGCTACACTTGACATAGCCACCACAAGGCAGAGCCAACCAATGCTTCTCTCTTTCTCGTAAGCCACTTTGGTTCCAGCGGCTAACATCGCCGACACGTACTTGCCTAGGTTCACTAGGTGGCTCGTTTCGCCTTCGTCAAACCACCTCCTTGCACACTGTTGCAACAAGGACTATTTTCAATATTTTCTAAAGTTGAAGCCCTAACTTGGGAAATAAGAAACAGAAACTTGAGGAAGAAGGAAGGATCTTTAGTTTGATATACCTGCATTGCTCTCCAGTAGTACGGTAGGAAGGAAACTGCATAAGCGAGATCTCTGTAGTATTTGACTCTCATACAATATCCATAGTCTTGCGTTGCGTAGCTACCGGTTATGTAGTAGCAGGCAATGTATTCTAGGTTCCTTAACATTGGTACCTGTAAGACAACAGTGAACCCATTTTCAAAGATCAGATTTTGACTCAGGGTTTATGGTAAAGATCAAAAATTTAACTCAGTACCTGGCTGCAAAGTTGATCAGCCATGAAGAAATCGAGCATCACGACTTTGTAAAGAGGTGAAAAAACAATGTTTCTGATGACTGTTATAAGCCGGTAACGGCTTGATTTGTAGAAAATGTTCAAGGGAAAAATCAGTATTAACAAGAAGACCTGCCAAAACAAAGTAAACAGATTTAGATTTACAAATTGACAAAAAGAAAACAAATGATAAAGAGTGAGTAGTGTTTGTCAAGTTACCAGTAATAGAAGGCCAGGGATCACTTGAACTTGCCTAAAGGAGTAACCTTTTGCAAGAAGCGAGAGATGGAGAAACATGACACCGGCTATGGCAGACATTGAAGCGGTACATATCAAGAAAACATCTCTGTACTTGAGCTCATTTTCAGACCCAAGTTCGAAGATGAAACTATAGTTTATCCTCGCTTTTCGCCACATAAATATGTTGCAACCGTATAAGAATAAGTGTAGAAACAAGAGTCCAAACATGCTGTAGAACACAAGGAAAAAAAAGATCATTTGGCATTAGCTTCTCATATTTTATAGATTTAGGTGTAATAATCATAAATATTTGAGATTTTTAATTAGGTGACTCGCCTTAGTACAGGATATGCAGTTTCCATGTAGAAAGTGTTCTCAGAATGTTTTCTATACATTCCAGTGAGATGAGCCACAATGATGTATCCAGCAAGAAGAGCAACAAAGCAACCAGTGAAAAGACCTGACCAGAGATTAATTTTTTTTATTAGGACATGATTAAACCAAACCCATTTAGTCTCAAACAAGAAAGATTCTTTCAGCAGACAAGATAATATTATGCAACAGAGAGTATAACACAACGTGACGCTCTTAGTTGTCCACTCACAACAATAAGAAAATTAAAGGTTACATTGTGGAATCCTAATGTGTATGTATGTGTGTGATGGGGTCCAAAAGCTTTTTTATTTTTGTGGTTGCATTTGCAAGTGCAAACAAAAATGTTACAACATCAAGATGTAAATATGTTAAAGTAAAAAAAAAGTCTCTCACCAATGAAGAAGGTGACAGAGTGAGACTCTTTACGGTGGTGCGGTTTCAGATATTTCATCGCCTTTCTACGATTTTCTCCTGCGAAGTGCTTGATGAACCATTCTTCAACTTCATCTGATAGAATTATCACCTGTCATGTCACAATAATGAAAGAAATGAAAATTTGGTAAATATTTTTTTTTTTCATATTACAAAAGTATAATAAAGTGATAAGACAAGAACGTAGGTATCGATTTTCCGCTTGCACAAGCTTAAGAAAAAACAAAAAATCTAAAGTAGATTTTTTTTCTTTCCCTGTTACCTTGTCAGAACTGTTGAAGTAAGAACTTTCCACAACTTTGAGATAAATCGGGAGGATTTGTTTTCCAGTTACCTGAAACATAAAAGGGTTTGTTTTAAATTCGAAACAAAAATAAAATACTTCTTGAAAAATGATCTGGTTTAATGCTTTACCTTATCGAACTTCTTGAGAATGTTCATGAAGGCTAACATGTTCAGGTTTCTGTAAGTTTTGAGATAATTTAAGCCTTTGTAGAGTTCTGTCAAAGCTCCTTTGATCATCTTCTCTGCGTGACTTAGTTTTTTCTTGCTGATTCTCAGCTTATTTGCTCCATCTGGACCACATTTCTTGGAAGAAGACTGGTTTATCAAATCTTCTTTGATCAAGTAACTTATAGCTGAGAATGTACGAGAAGGATTTGTCAATGGGATCTTTATCTTGAGATTCTTCCCCTGACAGCTGAAAACCCTACCGGAAACCGTCCTCAGCTTCGTGTCCTCGCTGTTGAGTTTGATCGGTTCTTCTGATCCTGGAGACTCCATTGCTTCTTCTCCATTGTTCTCCAAATCCTCTAAGCAAGATTCTTGAAGTTGCATTTCCTCTGTTCTTCCCCTGATAGAGTCCTCCTCTGTATCCAGAAACAGAGCAAGCAAACTAATTAAACCACTTCTTGAAATCCATACAAACTAAACAAGGAACTTTGAGTTTGAGTAACTATTTAAATGCAAGATTTTTTTGTTTTTTATATGTTTTTATTACCGCATGAGATGGTGCATGATATTGAATCATCTTCTTTTGATTCTTGAGTAGACTCTCCATTGGCTTGCTTTTGATTGAAAGCATCTTTGAGCTCAATGAGTATCTCCATTTGCTTCTTCAAACACTCTCCTCTCTCCAAGAACTCTTTCTCCTTTGACTTGTAGAACTGGTTCACTTTGTTTAGCTGCGCGTCAAGACACACGAAGAACTCTTTCGCAGCATCGGTATCATCAGCAATCTTCTCCAAGAGTTCCGTCTCATACACGTCACTGTTACTTCCAGAAGAAGCAAGCTTTCTATGAACCTGTTCAAAACGCATCAAAATCATTAACCCAACAAACCCATGAACTTGATGTAAAATCACAAAGGCTCAAGGTTAAGTTTATTACTTGGATGACACGGGATCGTTCCCACTGCTTGTTACCGAATAAGGAAAGCTTTCCAAAAGAGGACTTGATGGTGCCGATGAGAGAAGTTTCTTTGTGCTTCTTCTCAACTCTATTGGTGAATAAATGGATTTTCTTGAGGTCTTTCTTGAGCTGAGAGTAGTCGACGAAAGCATCTTTCCATTCGGGCACGAGCTGCCCTTCGAATTGCTTTGTGAACTTCACCATATCTTCTTTTCCTCTTTGGAAGTCCTTAAACTCAAAAGAAGAAAGGAAGGAGGAGAGTGTGTTTGGTTTGTGAGTGTAGGGCAAGAGAGGAAGAGGAGATTTGTTTTATAGTGGACAAAAGAAAGAAAAAAAGGCAGAGAAATAGAAGAATATATTTGACTGGGCTTGCTTGCTCCTACTGATGATGCCTCACAAAGCACATTCTCAAATATCCTTCTTGAAACCAAATCCCATGTACTAATTGTTATCTTATGCTTCTTCCACTTGTGCTTTTGAGGAGGTAAAATCCTGTCTCGTGTGGGACCCTCTATTTATAGCCGGAATATATTCACCAATCCTCCTCCGGCCGCCGGAGCTTGATATACCTCTCTCCGCACTCAAGATGTTTGAACTAAGTAGGAATTGAGCTTGTAACGAACTATATGAACGGTAGGGGTAGTTTAGGTATTGACAAGGATAACCAAAAATAGCAAGTAATTGTAATTTTGTAATATTTTGTGAGGAAAAAAGATAGCTGAAATGGACCAAAAGGAAGTTAGGTGCTGAGAGACACAAAAGGTAAACTTGGATTGGACCAGCTCGATTTCCACTACATTTTTTTTTCGGATGGTAATGAGATTTTGAAAACATATAAATCTTAAAGAATCAAGGAAAAGAAGAAGAACAACTTACCAATCAAATTCTGATTTCATAGTTTCATATTACAATTGCAGATGCTGCCAAAACATGTTATAGCAGTCAAGTAGTGTAAGTTTTCGCCAATCAGAACATGGATTAATGTTCTTTAAAATCCACTTTCAGAAATACAAAATTACAATGCAATTGAAAAAGTGCATATAGTAATCATTTTCATAACCAATACATTTTGG